CACTAATGGCATTTGTTTCTTGACAAAATTGGTCGTTTCGTTTTCCAAGGAACCATTCCAATCTAGGAAAATATACACCCTCTTCCCTTAAAGCGTTTAATGAAGGTTCGTTTTTCTTCACTCGAATGATCTCAATTGCGCTGTATTATAATCAACCTATTTTCTTCTCGGCCGGCATTCCACAAAGCATCGATCCTTAGGAAATTCGCCCTTGGATAAACAACCAACGGAGCAATCTTTTAAACGATAACGGCCGACTAGTGTGGGGTACCCGAAGTAACGAGACGGATCTGAGGATAGGGGGACCACTTGCATGTGATACGTCGTGCATGGCATTGATTCGATTAAAGCTCTATGTAGGTCGTCATCCTTCGTGAAAATTGTTTACAAAAACGAAAAGCTAGAAAACGTGGCACCCTTGCACGCCACCGAATACAACTTAAAAATTTAACAATTTATTTAAAACATTTTCAATATTTTCATATTAAAGAATTCTTCATGATAGTTGTGATGGTGGCATTGATGTATCTAATTCTCTTTCTCTTAATCACTTAATTTTCTAATATCTCTAGCTTTTCCCTCTCCTTTCTCTCTCTCTCTCTCTCTCTCCCTCTCTCTCTCTCTCTCTCTCTCTCTCTCTCTCTCTTTCTCTCTCTTTCTCTCTCTCACACACACTCACTTGTACTGTTCCACACTCATACTCACTCTCCTTGTCTGTCTCTCTGACTTTTTCCCCTCTACTCTGTGTGAGTGAAATTATGCCCTATATGACTCAATAAATCAGTAGATTTAACTGTCATTTGTCTTCGTTATCTCTTTTATTTTATATTATCTCTTCAGCTCCTCTCTCTCTCTCTCTCTCTCTCTCTCTCTCTCTCTCTCTCTCTCNCACCGAATATTCGAATATTCCGGGCGAAAGTGAATGTATTTATTAGCGTGAAGTGTGAGGCTTCTTCACTAATAACACCGAATATTCGAATATTCTGGGAGAAAGTGAATGTACTTTATTAATTTAAAGTGTGGGGCTTCTTCCCTAATTACACCGAGGAATATCGAATATTCGGGGAGAAATTGAATGTATTTATTAGCGTGAAGTGCGGGGCTTTTTCACTAATTACACCGAGGAATATCGAGTACTCTGGCGTAGTATGGTTTCTCTTTAAATGTATATATTTTTACTTTATGAATAAGTAATTCGTCAAAAGGCGTCATATTTATGCGTTTTTTACATGTATATTTTATCCTCCGCTAACAACCAAAGCCTTATGACGTTAATATAATTTGGATCTACCGTCAAAAAATGAATTAATACTAATAAAAATTGAGGTGGAAAGAAAAAAGGAAGATGACCAACATAGTTTACCGGCCGAAAAACTATCCACAATCTACATGTACATATTTTAAAAATATTATTAAGCTTCTTTCTTGCCCAAAACTGCCCAATTTGACGTAGGAATCAAATTTTAAAGCTTTTGTAACTGGTTTAAATAAGGTTACTTAAGTTTTGCATGTTTTTATTTTGAGTTTTTTACTGCACAAAAATCCGCCCGTTCTGGCTGATTTTATGCAATCCTGGGTTGATTTTTTTACCTGTTTCTAACCTAATCGGGAAAAAAACGTTCTGTATAAAATGGCGTCCAGGAGAACAAGAAAAACTAACAGGCCATCAAAACACAAACGCTCACGCTTAAAAATAAGTAATTAATTGAAAAATCGAACTATCTTCAACAATTGCCCGAAATTTTGGTTTCCTGACATAAAGCCCAATCCCACGGGTTAAATATAAGTTATATTGACAACCCAAGACGTATGCGTGAGTTGTTTTCGTGACTTGGATTTATTTATAAACAAACTAAAAGCGTTCCTCCGCTATTTTTACTGTTGAATGATTTTTTTCCGGGGTGACGGCATCACGTCCAGATACACTATGAATCTTGAAGCCGGATTTGGCCGCATCAGTCAAGATAAAGAAGACTTTTTTCTTAGAAATAATCCTTAATGACACAGGGAATACACTGAGCTTTGCTTTCAATGAATCCGCCGGAGACGGCTTTTGAATCAGAATGAACCCAACGGAAGCGGAAATGCGGCTTTCAGGACCCAGCTTTTATTTGGTGTGACTGTGTTACTAATTGAGAGATGTGTGCATTTTAAAAGGAATCCGTTGTAAATGCAAAAGATCCGTTGAACGATAATTTAATTACATTCTGAAGAACTGTAAGTCTCCTCCAAAAGTGAAAAAAATCCTTCTAAATAAAATTTACATACCTTCTAACATATTTATGATTATTGATGCTAACGATTTGTACACAATGAAAGGTCAAATAAATACACCCCAAATAATCCAAATTGAGGAAAATCGAATCAAGCTGAGCATAAAACACCCGAGTGTTGATTTGGATGAAATAATTAGGTGTACCTAAGCAAGGCTAAGTTGAATCATAAAAGCAAAATGGGGTATGGGGCTTAAGGCACTGTAAGGTCTACAAAAGCATATGCCGGTATAGTATATTACCTCACGGGCCAACTGCTTGGTTTTTGACACTAAATAATACATAAAAAATATAATGAAATTCTTCAAACAGTTAATGCTCCAGCTAATATAAAACAGTATGAACTTATCCAATGTAGCAGTACGAGCAACTAGAACTAGACATGGTACGGACAAATGGATCTGAAGGAAGTGAAAGTCTTCTGAGAAACAAAAATGATGGAAAGGTAGATGGCAAAATTGGCCAAAAGGCAGATTAACAAGTGAATATTTTCCGAACAGTTTACTTTGGTCTTTCCAGATTGCTTGACAACCCAATACCAGTATGATCTGTTTAAGTCAAACAGCAATGTTGAATACATACTGCCTGAGCAACAACCCCAAAGGTTTTTTTTTAAATGTATTTATTGACTTTTTTTAAACAAAGGAATTTAAACTACGATTATAAACCCTTGGGATGCAGGTGGTTTTGAATTTTTTTTTTGTATGTCAGCCCCCATCTTTAAATGCACTTTTACAAAATTAGGAACTTAAGATCTAAGGAGTCTGTGTTAGAAAGTTTTTCGTTGATAAATTATTTTCAGTAATCTTTGATCAATTATTTCTTATTAACTATTTTCAGCAATCTTTGATAAATTATTTCTTATTAATTTTCAATAATCTTTGATAAATTATTTCTTATAAATTTTCAATAATCTGATAAATGATTTCTCATTAATTATTTTCAGCAATCTTTGTAAATTATTTCTTATTAATCATTTTCAGCAATCTTTGATAAATTATTTCTTATTAATTTTCAATCATCTTTGATAAATTATTTCTCATTAATTATTTTCAGCAATCTTTGTAAATTATTTCTCATTAATTATTTTCAGCAATCTTTGATATATTATTTCTTATTAATTTTCAGCAATCTTTGATAAATTATTTCTTATTATTTTCAGAAATCTTTGATCAATTATTTATCCCAAAAAATGAGCAATCTTAATTTTAATTTCTTCACTGTTTATGAGAATATAATAGATAATGGTAATATATTTATTAATATACTAGCAAATGGGAACCCCTTTTCAGACTGCGTAATATAAAAAAAACTAATACATATTATACAACTCATTCATACTTTTCATGTTCATAGTTTTAAATGCAAATAATTTGATACATTGATGATGGTGAAACGCATCTGATAGACCAAACCAGTAAGGATAGACCAAGATGATCGATAAGGATCAAATTACAAATATTCGTCCATGGTCGATCGGTAGGGGGGTCTCCCTAAGTCGAGAGATGGCTGAGTAAAAAAAATCTTTTGTTCAACGCCGAAGCCCATTCTTACAAACTAAATTCTGTATACAAACACAAAATGGGAAAAAGTGAAACAAACAAAGCAATAATGAATGAATAGATGAGTGATTGAGAGAGAGAAAAGGGAAAGAGATAGAGAAAGAAGATAGATAAAGAAAGTCAGAAAAAAAGATAGAGAGATGTGAGAGAAGAGATATATAAAAAAGAGAGATAGTCAGAAAAGAAAGGTAGATAGACAGATGAGAGAGAGGAGATATAAAAAAAGGAAGAGATAGTTTGAGAAAGTCGAAAAAAAAAAAGGAAGGTAGATATTGAAAGGGGGGAGATAAATATAAAAAAGGAAAGCAATAGACAAAGAAAGTCAGAAAAGAAGATAGATAGATATAGAGAGAGGGGATATATAAAAAAAGTAAAGAGATAGAGAAATTCAGAAAAGAAAGAAAGATAGATAAAGTTAGAAAAGAAAGAAAGAAAAAGATAGAGAAAGAGAGGGGGGAGTGAATGAGAGGGAGAGGAGATAGATATAAAAATGGAAAGAGAGAGTGAGAAAGACAGAAAAGATAGGTAGATAGAAAGAGAGAAAGCTAGATAAAGAGACAGACCCAGTCAGACAGAGAGAATAAAAGTGTGAAAAATATTATATAGATGAAATTAAATGAGGTATTAAAACAAACAACATTTACAAATTAAAATAGTATTTAATGTGAGATATTTTACCGACTTAATACAAAACTATTTACATTTTTATACACATATTATCTGGTGCTATCCTTAGATATTGAAATTTACATTTCAATTGAGATCAAGGGTCGTCGGGTGCTGGCATTCAGGCCCTCTTGAAGTATGTACACAGTTAGAATTCATTATTTCATTTTCCTGTAGACCTTTAGAAACGTCCCTTTTATATGTATATCAACACTAAAAACTCATTACCAAAATCGTAGGGTTGTATGAAATAATGACATATCAGTTATGAGATATGTTTTTTTAAGTCTAAATTTAAAAAAATTTTTTGAAAAATTCATTTGGATGTAACAAGTAAAGTGACTAAAGTTAATATTTCGACTCAAAGACTATTAAACAAAATTGACCTTGTATTAGTTAAAATGCAGGAGTGGCAAACATTTCATTTCCAAAGTTACAGTTCGTGAAGCATAACCACAATAGAAATAGCTCAAAGGTTGTTCAAAAAGTCCAATAATGATCTGATTCAGAGTATATTTTTTTACTAAACACAATTATATTGCTAGTCTCCAGTTATCCTCGCCTTATCTTTTAGACAAACCTAGCGAAAAAGCAAATCACGATAATCATAGCCAACCGGGCTACAGGTCATCCCGTTACAATATATTCGCACAATTTAAAAACGTAATAATTTTTTATTCATTTATATCATGTTAAAATTAGTGTTTTCGATAATTACACATTTGTTAGTTCTCGCCAACAAGGCGATAGGCGAATTTCAATATGCCTTCCTCCTAAAACCCTTTTTGTAAATGACTAGAAATGATAGTCACTCATTACACAAGCAATGCAACGAAAGTACTTTCAAAGAAATATAATTAATGTTGAGTATGTAATGTATATATAACAATGAACAGTAAAAATTTATTGCTATGCTATTGTTATGCTTAAAAACACATTTGTTAATATAAAAAAAAAATAATTAAAAACAATATAAAATTTTATTGTACAATTATGAAAAAGAAAAAAAAAATGTTCTCCAAGAAACGTTAATATTTTTTTGCTCAATAATGTACAGAACAAAACAACTTTTATATATATATTTTTTGAATTATTATTCTTTTGTTTTGTTCTTAGAAACCAAAAACTTATTACAATTTTATAAAACAAAATAAAACATTTGTTAAAAATTGAATTGTTAAACTTGGAACTGCTTTACCGGAATTTTGTGATGTAGCAAGCAGCCCACAACAACTATAGAAACAAATATTTATTAAATATAAAACATTTATGTAAAAAAAAATTAATAATTAGAATAAAAGTAATGGTAAAACGTGATACGAGATCATGACACGGCTGCCTCCGAGATAACGGGTTGAGGGTTGATAAGTGGCAGGCCGTTCTGTTGCAAAATCTTGTTGACCTCAGGTACGAAAACGACTCCGCTACCATCCTCGTAGTCTTCGATAACGGTCGCACTGATACTGTTGTTCTCTAAGCTTGATTTGATCAATTCTTTTGTGTTGTCCGGAAGATTATCAGATAAACCTGGTTAACAGACAGGCAAAGCTTAATGGACTGAAATACAGGGTGGAACACTGTATCTCTAAGTGAAATAAAAACAAAGAAATTCAGCCAAATCTCACAAAAATGTCCTTAGTGGATTACAAAATATAAATTTAAGTACATTTAATACCTAAGATTATTTTTTAAAAAATTGCTTTAATTTTTACAGTTAATGTGAGAAAAGGCATGTCTTATAGCTTTGGTTAACTTTTTTTTTTGATCAGCGCATATTACAACTACCCCATATGGGCTAACAACACTGTTTTATATTAACAGCAATATAAAAAAAAAGAAAAGAAAAAAAATTATAAAGACTAGAAAAACTACCAAAACTTGAAAAACATTAGCAGTTGGATTTACAAGAATTTTTTCAGATTTTCACTCACTCTCAGTTTTTGGAAGATCTCTAGGCCATCGTCTCTTAAATCAGTGATCAGGATTGGAATACGGTAGAAGGGATGTTTTTCAATTAATGGATTTTCAGTGATAGCGAGATGTTTATTAAATTTTAGGTAACGGGTCATGTTAATTCGCGGATAAAGGAAACTTCCGAATATTTGTGTGTTGTTTCGTTAAATGGAACATCGAGAATATGTAGGCATTGGGTGTTTGGCAGAACCCCAGGTTTGTTTCATCACCCGACAAAACCGTTAGCAAATTGACAGATGCATGCGCCTATCACGCTCCAATGTTCCATCATGTTTCCAAATCCGGTTTTGGACAATCAAAACAGAGTTTACTAGGGACACAGTTAAGAAACATGCTCTCGTCAAATAGCATGTTCTTATTCAACCAGACCAGATTTATATGTCAAATAACATAAATATGCACATATATACTTTTTTTTTAAACAACACCAAGTACAACAAAAAAATTAAAATAGAAAACCTTTAGTTAAGCATTTTTTAAAGAATTTATTTACATATACTAGTTGAAAAATGTGTAAAAAGGAAAAAATAAAATAGAAAATAAACCTTCAATTTATGTTAAATTACATACATTTTTAAATTGTAATTAAAATGTATATAAATTTTTATGCATATTTACTGCGTTGAGTCCTGAATTTACCTAGCTGTTAATATATTTATATATATTTTTATACACGTATAAATTTTTTTATGTGTTTTGTAATTAAAAATATCTTTTATGCAATTGTGTCATTCTTGCGTGTCGTGTTGAGAGTGCCCGAAGTGGGCACACAATTACACAGAAGACAAACACTTTGAGCCTGAAGATGATCTCAATAAAGATCAAAATGTTGGCATGATAAAGAAAATGTTTTTCTGAAACCTACATCACACCAGACCGCATCTCACGATTTCTAAATAAATTCCATCAAGAGTTCTATGGAATGGTATTCAATTAAAAAACTTCTATGTGGTATTCCTATGTATTATAGCAGGAGCAAAAAATTGATAAATTCTAGAAATGAGGAACAGCTTTTATTTTATTTTATTTTTTTTTAAAGATAGTTCTACTCACAGATTTGATGTTTACAACTATACAGATTTCAAGCTCATCAGGATGCTTCTTTTTTTTTGGGGGGGGGGGAGACCTAGCAGAGGTCTGAGGGGTAATGTAGTAATAAACGTTGTGGGTGGAAGAGCCGAAGAAACCAGATTTGCCTTCTTTATGTCGAAAACCATATACTTCCACCTTTGCAGGCTGAGAAGGGCCAATGGTAGCCGAGTGGTTAAGGCGTCAGACTCTCGGTTAATAGATCACGCAGTCGTGGGTTCAATCCCCACTGTCACCCCTGGACTTTTTTTTCTGACACCTAAGGGGACCGGTGGCCACAATTGAAAGAAATAGGCATGACACTCATCAATGGAAGGTCTCACTCTAAACTATATCTAATAAACTCTTTAAACTATAACCAATAATTAATAATAAATCTGCTATCCATTGTATTTATTAAAAAAAAAAAGTTAAAAAACCAAATTAAGGAAAAAAAAAAGGATTGAACTCCACACACCCCATTTATAATTTCTAAAAAAAGAAAATACTAATAATACTTTAGGAAGTGTTGGATCTGCCATTGTTTACTGTGAGTTGAGTCTTGTTTGATTTTCTATCATCCATCCCAAAATCTTAAATATTAAGACTAGACTTCAAAAAACTCAACCAGACCCAACAATGAATATGGCAAAATGCCGAAACTCATCTGAAAGACCGCCCGGCGAGTTTAGGCAGAACAAGATGATCGGTAAGTACTAAATTTTGATTGATACCTTACGCCTGAAAACCTTATATTGAAAGCTGATATAAAGCGGACATACCATAAACTCTACATGATTTCAATACGGCTGGTTCGTCCATAAAATCTGGAGGCATTTTTCTTATGTCTTTGTGGTAGACTTCCCCGTAATTGCCGAAATCGATGAAGAATATATGCGACGAATTGACTTGAGGCTGTGTACATATTGCTCTGTACCAGCTCACATCCGCTGTCTCTTCATCTAAAAAAGAAATATTTGTTTAAATTATTTGCATTACAGTTAAACCCCGATATACCATATCTTCATGGGGACAGAGGATAAAAACATGTATTTTTGAAAATACTGATCTTTTTTTGTTTGCATTCAAAAATTATTTAAACATGTTCTGCATATCGCTAATTCAATAGTGTAAATCACCCTGAGTTTTCAACCATGTTTGAACCCGCGAAAAAACAACATGCGTGATAGATCAATTTCTTGGCCTTTTTAAAACCGATACTTGGAATTTCTTCAGGTTTCTCTTCTTCGTCATCCACGATGTCTGTTTCAGTTAAAATTTCATTATCGTTAAGCATGCTATTAACTGCAACGTCATCATCAAAATTAACGAAGTCCTTGTAAGTAACAGGGTTTTCTTTATTTTCTGACATGAGATGACATCCGACGAGGGCTTGGGTTTTATTTTCTAGTTCCAAGGCTGATATATCCTCCTTTAGGAAGACACAAGTTTTTTGTTAATCGTTGTCCCTGTTACTTTTTACATGCTTCATTGCACTAAATCTGGATTTCCATTGTGCAAAAAAAAACCACTAAACGAGAGATCTCAGTTTAACCATTTCCATGTTCACACAAGGTGAGCCATCAGTTTGCGTGAGACAAGCTGTTTATAGATTGCTGAATCAGCATGTGCTATCATGGCGATACTTTTTGCTGTACCTTTTGTCTTTGGCCCATTTTGATGCTCATTTCCTCCCAAGCATCCTCTCTCGTTCTTGTTATGATGAGTTTTATCTTTAGCATCCCACAAAAATCAGTAGCTGTGATCATTCGGATAAGTCGAATGCAGCCGTCCGGGTTCATTCTCATACTCGGGACAAGTGTGTTTACACAGAGAGAAACAATGTAAAATGTTTTGATGCGCTCTAAAAAACCAACAGCAAATCGGCTCACCATGAAACATTCTGCGCCTAAGTTTCACAGTTCCGGCTATCCACAACGCAAGACAAGTTTTGCGAGTACTTTTCGCGCAGAGGAAACCCAACTCAAGCAATATGGTTTATCTTGAGTCAGTGCCATCAGGTATAACAAACAAAATCCTGGAAACAACCAGAATTCACAATTGACCCTTGTGGTTTATGTGACATGGAATTCGGTCCATTCTTAAGGTGGCCATTCATGATTACTCCAAATGGAACTGTGCCAAGCTCCATTTGGAGTGCCTGAAATTTGAGGGGGCTTTTACGACTGCTCTACTGCCAATCGCTCTGAACGTCATCTAGTGAATTACCTTCTCAAAATGGATGACGATCTCTTGTGCCACGCTGCTATTTGTTTATATATTATAAGCAAAAAACCGAAGAGGAAATGGTGTAAGAAGTGGCTCCTGAACCGCCGTAATACCCATATCAATTTGATGAAAGATCTTTCCCTTGAACCCACTGATTCGAAGAACTATTGGATAGATGAAACGTCTTATTTATTCATTATATTTAGTGTTCTATTGACCAAATTAATTCTTTCAATTAATTAATATTTTTTGTAAGGTTTTGGTTGAAATGAAAAAGTCAGGGTCACGAGCGGGATTTGAATCCATGACCTTCGGATAAATGCACCGCTGCTCTACCACTTGAGCTATCGTGACTTCGATCCTCTCGGATACCAAAAAATGGCAAAAAGAAGGAAAATTCAAAAGGTTGTAGGTTGAGATGGGGAGTTGGTGTCCGAGTGGATCGAAGTCACGATAGCTCAAGTAGTTAGCACAGCGGCATATTTAGACGAAGTTCATGGATTCGAATCCCCTTGTGACACTATTTTTTCATTTCAACCTTTAATTGTGCTATGCTGCTGTTTATTTATATATTAAAAGCAAAAAACCGAAGAGGAAATGGTGTAAGAAGTGGCTCCTGAACAGAAGATTTGATGAAAGATCTTTCCCTTGAACCCGCTGATTCGAAGAACTATTGGATAGATGAAACGTCTTATTTATTCATTATATTTAGTGTTCTATTGACCAAATTAATTCTTTCAATTAATTAAAATTTTTTTGTAAGGTTTTGGTTGAAATGAAAAAGTCAGCGTCACGAGAGGTTTTTGAATCCATGACCTTCGGATAAATGCACCGCTGCTCTACCACTTGAGCTATCGTGCTTCGATCCTCTCGGACACCAAAAAATGGCAAAAAGAAGGAAAATTCGATAGGTTGTTGAGATGGGGAGTTGGTGTCCGAGTGAATCGAAGTCACGATAGCTCAAGTAGTTAGCACAGCGGCGTATTTAGACGAAGGTCATGGATTCGAATCCCCTCGTGACGCTAGCTTTTTCATTTCAACCTTCAAAAAAAAAAAAAAAAAAAAAAAAGAGAGAGAGAGAGAGAGAAAAAAAAGAAGAAGAAGATTAACGTCTTATTTATATTTACTCTACATAAAAGGTTGGCAGCCACATTACCTTTTCTCGCTACAGGGATGAACTACCAAAAACTTTAAGTTCTCTTCTACGATTTCTGCTCAGCGTTTAAGGGTTATCAATACCGCATCTCTCGTTGCATTTGTATCCTTTGTTTTGAAAAGGTTGACCAACTGGTTGAGGACCGAATTTCTTTTATTTCTATCGTGGTAATCATTGTCCACCACTTTCCATAAACACGGTAAACATTTATACAATTCAATCACTTCAACAATAAAATCTCAATTCGATGTCATTGCCAATAAATGACTCCCGGCCCTCCATTGTTATTCTCCTCGAAAGAATAAAAACAGGATGAAAACGATTGTACACATTGCCAATAAAGAATAAACGTTTTTGACTTTTTAAGAATGTAGGACGGAGATGTTTGCTCAGTGACAGAAAGATGAAGACTGCGCCAAAAAAACGCGGGTTTTCCCATTCACGACCAAGCCAGCGCTCCAATATTCCACCATTCACACCAGGTTTTCCCATTCATTAACGCGCGGTAGATATTTGTAGTGGCGCGATGGAGTTTGGACCCGTCGAATATTCGGCACAGCCGGGCACGCCAGTTCAGTTTTGCCATTGACATGGTTTTTGGTACGGCATCGCTCCGTTTGGACTGCTAGAAGCGATCGTGAATGGCCACCTTAAGGAAACCCCTACCATTCCATTCATACATTTAATCAGGATTTCAATGCTACAATAAAAATTAGATGGTTTGTTGACCTTGAAGGCAGAAAAAAATACGTTAATCCAAGGGGGGCCAAAATGCATTGGTTTCATAAGATTTAATGAGATCTTTTCTAGGGACCAGCACTTTCTTACGATATATTGGGGTAAACGATCAGCATACGAAATATCAATATTTTACTGTAATTGACACTAGACTTGAACATACCTTTGTATTTAGCTAAGCATATTTCATTTAGCCGTGGGTTGTATGCACCTTCATCCCCTTGATTGCAGTATTCATTTATTTTTGGAGTAACAACAGTCATTATTGTCCCAAACACAGGTGACTCTTCATTGATCACCAATAACTGTTTGTGTGATGATGCGACTACAACCATTAACTTCAACTTTTGTCCGATTTCCCATTTCTCATGTCTTACGTCTGTTACCATAAAAGGAGCAGCTGAAAGAAATTTATTTATTTATTTTTTTTCTACAAGATTCAAATCCCTGGACTCACTGTAGTTTTTAGTATTCTTCGACAGCCATGTCGGAAGCATGGCTTTGTGGATCATTTCGTTGACTTCAGAACCGTCTTTCAAAGTATCCATAGTTAATGTGACTTCACCAAGCGATTTGCTGTATGTCTGCAATATAAATACAAAAACGAAATATTTCAATTTTTAAAATAAAATCAAACAAACTTACGAGGTGAAGAGGGACTTCGTTTAAAGCAATTTCATTCAATATGTGAATGGCATCCCTGTTGAAAATAGAACCTGGGATGCCCTTAAGGCCAACTTTTACCGCGAAAGACGGTACCTGGAAAAATTCATAAAAAGTAAAAAAATGTGGCGTTTGATTTAAATTTTTAAACTTACGGCCTTTAATGAATCTGTCAATGGTTTCATGTCTTGAAGTGAAACTGTTTCAATGTTTCCATAATCGACAAAGTTGACTTGATATTTGTCGCCAATTTTTCTGAAAACCTGTGCTCGGTAGTAATTCCCGTCTTCAGAAAATCTGCAGCATAGAAATTCACCGCACCAAGGTTTTCTATCAAGACTGGGCGCTGAAAATATTTCAAACAATATTTTTACAACAATAAAGTACAAAATAAATTGTGATGGTACTTTTTTGACAATGGCCCGCTACATCCTGGAGGAGTTCACTGAGTGCGAGCAAATCGCTGTGTTCCGCTGACCGGACGTAAAGCGCATGCGGGGAATGGAAAGAAGAAAGGTACACTTTGCTCCCTGACGCCAATTTTACAGCATTGAGGCCTGCGTCTTCGACAAGAGGCTCCCATGGGAATATTTCAACATTACCGTATTTGTCCAGCTCTCCTATCAACTTTCCGACTTCCTTCTTAATGTTACAGAGCTTGAACTTTTCTCCAATCTTAAAGACAAAAATCCGATTTTTAAAATCAGTAGATCGATAATTTTTTTTGTTTAATACTTACAAGTTCTGACATTTTTGGTACAGGTGTTGAAAATATACATCTCACACTTGATTCTGCAATCGACTTGACCTCTTGTGGAAGGGGTGAGAGTGCATCTGGGACTACGACAAGCCCGTAATCAGTCAAAGCAACTTTAATTTTACCAGGGTGCTTCACCATAATGTAACCTCTGTACCAATCTCGGCCAATTTTAGCACTAACTACATCGCCTAATGAGGGCCTAGAAAAAATTGTTTGTATAACAATGACATATTGTTATAAAAAATTAATTAATAAAAATAATTTAAAAAATACACCTTTACATCGCTAAAATTTCAGTGTAATTCTTCTTAAATATATTTGCACTTACTTAAAGTTGAGATTCGGTTTGGAATTTGAAAGAAGTTTATGTATTTTGTCGTTTGTCATGTACTTCAAAATGTTCATGTTATGTTCATCAACGTTCAACACGATAGACCCGGTGATGCAATTTTCATTCATTACTTTACGCACTTCAATCATGACATTTGTAGCATTATCCTCGGTGAGGTAAATTACATGGTTCATTCTTCTGTAAATTTAAAAACATTATTTGAACAGAGTCCATTTTTTTTTTTTTTTAATTCTTACACTAAGTATAAAATGTAGAAGCGATAATTCAAAACTCTTTAAATTTATTTAGTCTCATGCTGAACCGGCATCTTCGGTGAGAACTTGCAAACATATTTGAGGAGTTCAATAAACCTGTGAGAGAAGACAGACCCAATTAAGGCCCAATGCCGGTTCAGCATGAGTTCACAGACTTGCAGACCAACACCCAGCCTCCAATGTTTTTTAGTGTTACATTTTTAATGTTCATTGAACCGCACAGGCTGATTAACAAGTCAAGAAGTACCCTTTACCTTTTAGTTGTAAAATACAACTATGAAACCACCACCTTAACTTCCATTTGATAAATTATTGGCTACACACTTGCATCTTAATCCATTTTTGTAATTGAAGTAATAAACCAGATTAAAAAATGACAAATGAATGAAATTAGGATAAGAATGAATTCAAAATGAACAAATTAAGTTTATTTAATGCTAATTTAAAAACTGTAAAGGAACAAAGTCAGCCTGTAAATTAATACAAAGCTGTAAAAACATATTTAAAAAAAAAAAACAACAATTAAAATGGATGTTTTGTGCTGAAAAAAGGTCTCATGATTGTCATTGATTGAAACCATTAAAAAAAAATTACTTCTTCACAGTTTGATCACTGTTTGGCCTCCTTGGTATAGCAGCTTCAGGTTCCTCGGACAGATCTGGATAAATGACACCAGCTACATGGACAATAACCATACCATTGTGCACCTGAAAGCAGTTTAAAAAATGTAAATAAAAATACGTATTATATAAGCATGATTATGTTTTTTTTTCTCCAGTCGCAACACTGACATGTTATCCAAAGGACTAAGGTTAAGAAAAACCAGCCAATATGAGGTTATGGATAAAGGATTAGTGATGTAGTAAGGAGCTTTGACTATTTGCCTGAGATCTTTTGAGCGTTAGTTGAGTTTTGATGGTCTAAACAGATTTCAGTCATTAGTCTTATGTTAAGTATTCATTATTATTTGGTGATCGTGAGATGCGGTCTGATGTGACGTAGGTTTAAAAATCTTTTTATTTATCGTGCAGACGTTTCGATCTTTACTGAGATCATCTTCAAGGCTATAAGTGTTTGTTTTCTGTGCTGATGTGTCTTTACTGTGTGTTATTCAATGATAATTCTGTGAAGATGGCGAGATGCTAAAACGTGTCTGAGACCAAAACAGCTAGGACGGTCAGACCACAATTATCAAGAATGACTGAACTTGAAGGCTTATCACCTAACGGTCATCTAGAGGGAAATTATTTTGGTCTGCCTACTCTCACTTCTATGATCATGTTCAGTATTAAGTCTGTGAAGATGGCGAGAAGTTGAAACGTGCCTGAGACCAAAACAGGAGGTTGGCAGACCACAATTATCAAGAATGACCGAACTACAAACCTATCACCTAACAGACTTCTAGAGGGAAATCATTTTGGTCTGCCTACTCTCACTTCTATGATCATGTTCAGTATTAAGTCTGTGAAGATGGCGAGAAGTTGAAACGTGCCTGAGACCAAAACAGGAGGTTGGCAGACCACAATTATCAAGAATGACCAAACTACAGACCTATCACCGGACAGACTTCTAGAGGGAAATCATTTTGGTCTGCCTACCTTTGCTTTTTTTTTGGTCTTGATATTCAATAATAATTCTGTGAAGATGCAAGAAGCTGAAAAACGTCTAAGACCAAAACAGTGAGGTTGGCAGACCACAATTATCAAGAATGACCGAAGTACAGCCCTATCACCAGACAGACTTCTAGAGGGAAATCATTTTGTTCTGCCTACCCTCACTTCTATGATCTTCATACTCAGTGATGCCTGTGAAGATGATGAAAGGCTGAAAAACGTCTGAGACCAAAACAGTGAGGTTGGCAGACCACAATTATCAAGAATGACCGAACTACAGGCTTATCACCTAACAAACTTCTAGAGGGAATCTGTTTACCTTTACTTCTTTGATCTTCATATTCGGTGATACATGTGAAGATGGCAAGAGGCTGAAACGTGTCTGAGACTAAGGCTGCTCGTCCATTGGAATCGAACTACGACGGCCGTTCAACAGCTGAACTATTTGACCAAACTGACGACCGGCAATATAGCCGAACGCCGTCGTCCACTGTAGCTGATTTTTGTCAGTTCACGACACAGCCCAAATGGATGTAGAAGATTTGTTGCTGCTCGAAAATTCTTAGTTTACATACAAATGGAATGAAAGAAATAAACAAAAATATTGGAAGTTCCATTTCTAAAGCCTCGATCACAGTTTACGCTGGACATCTCTCCAATGATAGAGTGGATCACGCATGTCCCAAGAGCCGCTCCTCAACCACACATCAATTTTTCGCAATCCATAGAAAAAAACGAAACGAAAAGGCAAGGAAAAAGCAAAGAACAGCGTTAACCAATGGTGATCGTTTGATGTCACGTGGTTGACAGTTGAAGTCAAAGTAACCATTCGGCCGAATAGGACTGGAAAATCCAACTTTATTTGGATCGGAAAGTGCTTTGGCAGTACACAGCCCAACACGACCGAACGAATTGATTCTAATGCTCATTCGTTTCTTTGCTTTTGGATCATCCGGCCCTATTCGGCCGAAAATGGCTCTACTGGACGTCCTACCTAAAATGGTGAGGACGATCAGACTATAATCATCAATAACGACCAAACTACAGGTCCATCACCACACACCTCTCATATTGATCTGGCTATTGTCATTAGTTGGGTCTGTCACTTATTTTCCTTTAGGTGAGTTGCACAGTTTAATTTTCCGTTGTTCCCAAATAATCCTATTTGTTTTTAACATAGTAAAATAATAAATTAATTTCTTGATTTAATAACTTGTGTATTGATCTAATAACCTTTTCAGTATTTTATTTTTCTCGAATCTGTTTATAAAATTTTGAAAACATTATTTAAAAAAAATAATAATAAAGTTTGATCGAGCTCTGCAACCAAGAACATAAAAGTACCAACTTTACATAAGATTTTATACATATATATAGGTAAATTTGTTTCAGCTCATAAAGAACCATAAAAAAATAAATAATCCATAAAATATGAAGAACATTCTAAAAAATTGGTTGATCCAAGTCAGGAGCTCTAATATACCAATAAGTGGCAAGCGCCTTGGGAATCACAGACTTTGCTGCTTCAACGGTTTGATACATTTAAGAAGAGTAGGGGTTCAATAATGTATTAAAAATAATAATAATAGTGGTGAGCCAAATTCTGTGAATTCTGATTAAACAACTGACTGGAAGAATCGAATTTTGTCACCTTACCACTGGCTACGAACCGTCAGAAATTTATAATGCAAATTAATTTGAGATGTTTATCTAACTGATACTTGATAGATTTTTGTTCAAACTTTTATAAGTTTAAAACAAAAAATTGGGGGTGGAATTTTTCTATTTAAATACTTTAACTTCATTTTGAAATAATTATTTTCACTTTTAGTTGTCCCCCCCCCCCAGGGGGTTGAGTTAGTGCTCTTTTTCCTTAGTCCCTAGAAAAGCATTGTAAACAGTTGTGTCAACATATAAAAATCTATGAAATTGCTAGATTAAATATTTAGAGGACTAACTGCTTTAACTGCTTTCACATTGAGGATGTTTGTATTCTCCAGGCCCGTATATTCAGAAGGAGTTCCTTTAGCTAGTTTGATTTTGATGGCCTGAAAAAAAAAAATTGTTGTAAATGTTGTTATTTCAATTATTCCATAAGATTTACCATTGGTGGAATATTCTTAAGGTTAATCGGCATTGGATGTAGTTCTTCTAGTTTGACGATATCAGAGTTGCCGTAATCTATGTAGAAGACAGTCAGCGGATTGAGATTGGTAACTTTAGCCCGACACCTGAAGAGACAGAGATTATATATAATGAAAAAAAAAAAGACATTATAATCTTACCATACTGAATCATATTTAACAACGTATGTTTCATTGAGTACTGGCTCGGCGATAGTGACGGAACTGTGAACATTTAGTGAACAGCCAATCTTGCACAGATTTATGAAATCGTCTTCGAGAACGACCCAATATTCATCGGGCTGTTCGGTCACTACTATTTTAACCTAGGAAGGAATAAAATATTTCAATTTCTTAAAATGCTTTAAATTTCAAATACTTACAGGTACAAAGTTAACAGATGAAATTGGGAGATTTTTCTTGAACGAAGCATCGTCAGAAGGAACAATTGCTTCAGACTCTAGTTTTGGTCCTGGCCCACCCTTAATTTGAACTTCACAATGATCATTTTCCTAAAAGGATGAAAAATGTTAACAAATTAAAAAAAAAATTATAAATATGAAACATACCATTTTGACAGCTTTGATGCTTATAAGCTGATCCACTTCAAAAGTTTCCGTGTTGGGTGTTCCCTCAACAAACTTAATTTTAAAAGACTGGAAAAAATATGTTAAAATACAAGTCTTAAATTAAATATAATAGTAAACATACCAAAGGCTTTATTGAGATAAGATCCTTTGGAACGCGTTTCATCTCATTCAATTGAATTTCACATTCATTTCCAAAGTCGATAAAGAGGACTTTTGCAGATTTATCACTTTTGCTCAAAATCTTCGCTCTGTACCTGCATTTAAATCCATTATTACAGAAATATTCTAAAGAAAGAAAATATAAGAAACTAAAGTACCAAGCTCCAGCAAACGGTGCACAGCATTTTGTCATCAAGTTAGGATCAGAAACGACTTTTGGGTCATTGCAGTATTCCATCAATTTAGTTGTAATTCTCTCCTGTTCTACGAGATTCTCTTTCTTGTAAACCCAATATGTCGATCCTTCTATATTTGAAATGTACACCTGTTCATTTAAAAAAAATAAAAGAATAATCATCTCCTATTGTTATATAAATGTGTTTTTACAATCCTTGCAGATTGTTAATTTTGTTAGGCTTATTGTTAAACATGAGGGCGAATCAAGTACAAATGGGACTGATTTTCTTAAAAACATCAGAGGGTTTAGAACTGAAAGGAGGTGTGTAGTTAGATTGTAAGGAAAAGGCAAAACAGTCACCAATTCTCCCCTTTATTTATTTATTAATTTAGTACACAATTACAAATTTGAGTGATAGTGGCAGGACCACTTTAACTACAGCCAGAAAGTCTTTAAATTGTTTAACTTGTGTGGTAAATAGTTGCAGTGAGGGTTTTGAGAAGTGGAAAAGTTTTCCAGCTATTACTCTGCATGGGGCATTCCTGGCAAGGACATCTAGTGAAGAAGCGTAGCGTTCTTGACTTCACCTCCGCGGCAATGGCCTTCTTTTGTCAATTTTGGCTATCCTAAGGGGGCGCTCAATCCTGGTCGATCTTGGGCAGGAGGTGACAAACCTCAAAAACTTATTTTGTTATGTTGTTGTTTTTTTGCTGTGTTTTTAATGTTGTGAAGGTAGTGTGTGAATGTGATTTTATGTGTTTATGTTTTCCTTTTTTAACATTTATTTATTAGTATATCTCAAAATTCTCCAGTAGAAATGTATGGTGATTAGTGACCGTTAATTGATATTTATTTAGAAATCGTGAGATGCGGTCTGGTGTGATGTAGGTTTCAGAAAAACATTTTCTTTATCGTGCCAATGTTTCGATCTTTATTGAGATCATCTTCAGGGCCTGGATTTAGAAACATTGTTTACATAAAACAATTACATTTTGGATGTGGAAAAGTGAATTTATACAATGCAAATTTTTTATATATTCAATCAAAGTATTTCTACTCACTCAAAGTGTTTGTCTTCTGTGTAATTGTGCCATTCTTGTGTGTCGTGTCGTGTCAAGAGTGCCAGTGAGATTTTGCTATTTTGTGTTTATATACATTGGATTTTGAAGGGAGGGAAGGATGTCGGTATAGAAAAGACATTTTTGTATAAGGTATGTATAAAGCCTGTTCTTTGAGGTGAAAAGAGCCGACAAAGGGAAAAAATGTGTTGGTAATGGTTCGGCCAGATTATCCTTTCAGGATTGTATAGAAAGGGATAAAATAGGAAAAGGAAAGCTAAATTGTTGGGAAATTAAACTATGTGAAAAATATTTGATGTGTGGAATGTAATGTAAGGATATAGGTATGTTATCTATATTGAATTTGGATGATATTGGCATAGCTGCGACTGAGTTTATATGTATCTGTTCTGTAATTGATGCTGTGTTTATCTCTGTTGATATAAACCATTTTTAAGAAATTACATTTATGTTTGTTTTGTTCTGTGTGTAATACTTTTGGATTTTTGAAGTCGAAATTGTATTGGTGTTCAAGATGGTGGTAGCAAGTGCTGTAGGATTTTGCTTAGGTTTTTTGCAATCATAGATATGTCGCTTTACTCTATACCGACATCCTTCTCCACCCCTTCAAAATGCAACATATATAAACACAAAATAGCAAAATCTCACTGGCACTCTCGACACGACACGCAAGAATGGCACAATTACACACTTTGAGTGAGTAGAAATACTTTGATTGAATATAAAAAATATATTTTGCATTGTATAAATTCACTTTTCCACATCCAAAATGTAATTGTTATATGTAAACAATGTTTGTAAATCCAGACCCTGAAGATGATCTTAATAAAGATCAAAACATTGGCACGATAAAGAAAATGTTTTTCTGAAACCTACATCACACCAGACTGCATCTCACAATTTCTAAATAAATATTCTCCAGTAGATTCACTAATTTCATGGCCCGCTTGACCAATTAATATATTACAATTAATTACGATTTTTAGTTGAGATAAAAACCTTAATTAATTGTAATTCTCCAGTAAGTTGAGTTTTGTCATTTTTATGTGTTGTGCATCAATCTTAAGCTTGATTCTATTGTGTTTGGTTCATGGTTGTGGTGTATTGTGTGTGGCATAATTATTATAAAGGTTTTGCCGAGGAGGGAGTGAAGCCAACCAAAATTTTGGGGTGACTAAAGGCACAGTACAAGGCCAGCACCCTGTCAAGAAGCCGTGTTCGCTTGGCACAAAAAGATGTGAAAAAATCAAGAACAGAAGTCATTATCACCGACCAAAGCATATGACCGAGGCCAACATTGAGGCCGCTTTTCATGTTGACTTTCTCCATGATTGACAATGCATAATTTTTTTTTTTTTTTTTAATTTAGATCAAACAATTACATAGCCATGTTACAAAAAATACTTTTTAAACAGTTCAAATTATATTTTCAGACATCATTTAAAAATTTTATTATCAAGTTATACACTGAGATTCTTGAATAGAGCTCTAGTTTCTGTAATTGGGTGTTCTACTCCTTTCTCCAAATCCTGGTAGAATTTATTTCTGGCCGACGAATGTTGGCTGCAGTGAAACATTATGTGCGTTAGGTCCTCTTTTACTCCGCATGTGTCACAATTAGGGTATTGTTTTATGCCAATCTTGTGAAGATACACTGCGCAGTTGCCATGGTTTGTTCTTAACCGATGTATGGTGGTTATGTCTTTTTTTGCCATGTCTAGTTTGTTAAACCACGGTTTCATTTTCACAAGTGGAAATAATGTTTTATAGGTCATTCCCTTATACAAGGCAAAACTACCTTTCCTCAGTTCAAGAGTGATGTCATTTATTTGGACATATATGTTCCTCTCTGAGACGAGCGTTATTAAGTTGTTAATAAATTTATTAGGTAAACCCATCTTTTGCATTTTTTCTGCCAGAATGAACAGATCGACGGAATCAAAGGCAGCTGATATGTCCAAAAACAAGTGCTAGAGTGCTTTGGTTATTCGTGAAGCCTAGTTGTACGTCTGTGACTAGTATTCTGTGATTGAGCGTTCTTTTCTGAAACCCATTTGTGGGTTGGGCAGTTTTTTATTGCCTTCTAGGCATCATTCTAGTCATGCCTTTACCATTCTTTCGAATGTCTTAACCAGACAGGAAGTAAGATATATAGGACAGTATGAGTAGATATCTGTTTGAGGCTTTCCAGATTTCAGTATTGGAATTATCAATGTGTTCTTCCATTGTTTGGGAAACTGATCTTTTTCCCAAAAATCGTTCAAGAGATTTAGAAGGCTTGATTGACATATCGATGGTAAATGTGCCGGCATTGATTAGTATATTTCGTCGAGTCCAGGAGAGGTATTAGAGTTATTTTTTTGTAGCAGCATGCCATTCACCGATAGAAAATTTTTCAGTCAACATGGTGTAATTTTCAGTCATTTAGTCAGATAATTCTCTTTGTGCACTGGGAGGGCATATTTTTTTTAGAAAGTTTGAGACCCAGCCATCCATAATGAAAATGTCACAATGTTATTGTGAATTATTGGATGTTGCAAAATAATCATTTCAAAGAAAAAGGGAGAAACAATCATTTATGATTACACCAAGCCTCATACGGCTAAATGCCATGAAGCAAAAACTAGATGCAATAGGATAGGAAACATTAAAACTCTTCAGTGTTTTTTTTAAGCACTTAGCACTTCCTAATTTTTTGGAAGCACTCGGAGGCCAGCATTTCAACTCAACAAAGCTATGGAAACATTTGTACTTCAGTGACTACGAGAAAATCCCAAGAGTTTTTATGATCGATGCAATATAAATTCCCAATCTGATGGGGGTAATGCAATTCTGAGGCAGGAGAACATGTAGAAAAATAATATAAGTTAAGCTTAATAAAATAAAGTTAGATTTTGTTTTAATGAGACCCATTTATTTTTGATAAACCCTCGTATTTAGTGTCCTGTGACTTTTATGTATTAAAACAGTGAGAAATAAATATTATTTAATAATAATCTAGGAAAATGAAGTCTTAAAATTAAATAGTACTTACCTCAGTAAAGAGATTTGTGGGAATCGGTAAGGTCTTTTTTTGTGCAGGTGATGGTGCCTTTTGGTAATCCTAGAAAAATTGAATTTGAAAACAATGTGAAAAGAGATCTTACATTTATCGATCTACATGCAAAACTCACATCCTTGTCTGAGTCAGGCTTTTTAATAACAACAGTTGGCTCGGCCGGTTGGTTTCTATTGCCGAAACCGTGTTTGTTTGCTGTTTTCGGATGGTTATTCTTAAACATTCCTCGAGCGCCATTTTGACTTTTCTTCTTAAAACTATTATTTGGGTTCTGTCTACCTTCCATGTCACTCGTTCTGGTGCTATCTGTATCGCTCTGGTGTTCACTGAGGCTGCTGCGATTCTTACTTTGGTGATAGTTGGCACTCTGCCTTTTCATGTCGTTCGGCTGATTGCGCCTGTTATCTTGACGACGATTTTCATTGTTTTGATTGGCAGGGTGGTTTCGTCCAAAATTGTTTTCTCTCTGAAATGAATTCTTTTGGTTGATGAAATCTGAAATGTCTTCACTCTTGTATAACATGTTGCCGTCTTGAGTAAACACCACCGTCTTCCTACATAATAATTTTTCATTGTCATTGCCAAAAAATTAAATAAAAAAAAATTAATGCTTACATAGTGCATTCCAGTTTATGCTTGGGCCAGTCAAGTCTGATGCAGGTAAAACTGCAGTACCAAGCCTTGCACACAGAACAGACATGCATTGATGGTTTATGACAATACTGACAGTTCCCATGGTTTACGGGTAAAACAATATCTGGAGGGTATTCAGCCACCTGTAAAGGGAAAATAATTTCTTTTAGTTTATAAATTATTACTACACAATCCATGAAAGGACAAAAATTATTTCAATCAAGGATATGATTGTTATCACTGCAGCCAACACTTCTGTCCGTACAGACCCTGTCTTTTTGTCGCCAGCATTATTTTATCTATTACTTTACTAAAAAAAAGTACTTGTAATGACAATTAGGCCTGATCCACACATGTGGTTTTTGCCGTTCAGTGACCAGGTCTCGTTGTGTTCACCTCGTGTACAAAGAGCACATTTACAAAGTAAGCATTATTGGGTTCATCCATGTACAGATACTTTATATATTTATTACAGGAAAATCAATATAAGTTTTTAATTAGTTCTGAACCCCATAAATAAAATTGTAAGCAGGAAGAATGCAAATATGGTGTTCAAAGTCAATATATAATAACAAATCTACAAAAATAATAAAAAAGCGAGGCTGTAAAATTTTTGTGTAAATGGCTTCTCTATTAGGTGGTAATTCGATTACTGTATATTAACATACATACATTGAATCATGGTTTGTTTCCGATTTTTGATAGGCATAATGCATTTTACAGATATGTTATGTAATGCCAAATAAAGTAGCAAAGTGAATCGTAAATTAGCAAGTTTAGTTATTGCACTATCCATCCAAAGCAGATAAAAAAAATTCTATTGGCTGTTGTGAATACGGTTGATGTTTCTGTTACATTAAAAGGTTCACACTGGTTTGTCACCTGAAGAATGGAACTGTATAAAATAGCCCAACTGGCTGAACGTTGTGGTGTACAAGGTGTAACTATTTAGGGCAGAACTCATGCCTGCTTATTTAATGGTGTAGCTGAATATGACTGTATGCGAACAGCTAAGCAAAATGTTACTATTCCTATTATTGCTAATGGCGGCTTAGAGGGAAATGCTATGAAAAAAATGACCGAAAACCTGCTGGACAGTGTGGCTGTGGCATTGCAGCTTTGCACGCTCTAACCAACCTAATGCTCTGCACTCATACCACAACCATAACTCTTTTTTTTTTTTTTTCAGTTTTCCACTCAAAAGTCTGTTTAGAGGTCACCAAATAAAATAAATAAATAAAACAACTAAGGGACCTATGATAATAGAGTGCTTAGCATGTCTGATTCTCAGCTCATAGATCCCACATTCTTGGATTTGTTACGAGTGGGAAATAAGAAAGGAATTTTTTTTTTGCACGGGGGGCAGTGACCAGATTTGGCCGGAGACATGGGTGTCCTCGGCAAGGTTGAGTGAGGCCGGGAAGAGGCCGAAGACACACGGGCGGTCTTTGGACGCCGAAAGAGGCCCAGCCAGGGCTCAGCAGGGACATAGGCAAGGAATGGAATGCGTCAGTGGCTCCCTGTAATGTCACGGGCTTCCTTTTTTAATATTTTTTTATTTATTTTTTAATCTGGGGACTTTTCTTCTTGGAGAGTTCGTATATGCGAAAGGAGAACCATGCTGTGACGTAAGGACCAGGACAAGGTTATTTTCTGAAGAGAGCTGGTTTTGTTATTTTCCCCCTCACCCTCTCTCTCTCTTCCTCTCTCTCCCTTTTTTTTTCTTCTTTTTAAATATACAAGCCATTGTTATTTTTTTTCTTGTTTGTTTCTTTGTTTTTTCTTATTTCACTCTGACATTTCACTGTTTTCCAAAAAGAGAAAAACAGTGTGGCGCCCGATGATTATTTTCTTTTTATTTATTTTAGAGAAAAGGATTTCCACTTTTCACACGCCCATGTACCTGGAGACTGGGTTAGTTGTCAATGGTCCGAGGAGGAATCTGTAACAGGTTCAATTCCCATTGTCGCACCTGGAATTTTTAACCCGCCCCCCTCCCGACCAAAAAATATTATTCATTCATGACAGACATACAATGGCATACATATGAAAAACTAGGCTATTAAAAACAAATTTGGGGGACCATGGTAGCCCAGTGGTTAGCGTGAAAGACTCTCGGCTCGTAGACCCCACGGTCGTGGGTTCAATTCCTGCCATCGCCTCTGGCCCTTTTTCACAATACCCTTCCTCCCAATACGAATATGCCTAATATATTGTCTGGCATTGGCTAATATGCATAATACATAAAGACATTAAAAATTGTCACAAGGCGCTAGGGGTCACCTATGGACATATTTAGGTGGGACAAATGCCCCCTTCCATCACAGAAGGTAGGTCAATTAAATTTCAGGCTAATAAGCACTCGGCTCCTGATCTCTGCAGCCTAGCTTCTCTAACTGGTTAAACCGTAAGTGCTTTTTGTCTCCAACGATTAAGCTCCTCTGTTCATTCAATTTTCAATTATTAATTGCCACAAGCAAGTTTGAGGCCTATTTATTTTTAGTTTGTATAAATTTTACCATTGAAGTAATAAATTTATTTTTGGTCAAGAAGGTTTTGTTTTACTTTTGCTTTTCATTTTACTTCTCTTTATTTTAATTCCCCCACGCTTTCATCAAAGCGCACTCTGCTGTCAGGTGTCAGCTTTGCTCTATCCTGCGATGGACTTCGGTTATTTAAACTTACCTTAAGTCCAAGAAATGGCTCGCAGTTTCCAAAGCCCACATACAGCGAAATCAGCAGAGCGCGCTGTGATGAAAGCGTGGGGGAATTAAAATAAAGAGAAGTAAAATGAAAAGCAAAAGTAAAACAAAACCTTCTTGACCAAAAATAAATTTATTACTTCAATGGTAAAATTTATACAAACTAAAAATAAATAGGCCTCAAACTTTCTTGTGACAATTAATATTTTTATTTTATTTATTTATTTATTTTTTTGCGTTATGAACTATGCATATTAGCCATGGTGACAATTCTTATATGTGTGTTCAAATCGGGGGGGTTATCGTGAAAAAAGGGCCAGAGGCGATGGTGGGAATCGAACCCACGACCGCGGCGTGAGAGTCTCTCATGCTAACCACTCGGCTACCGCGGTCCCCCCAATTAAGAATTGAAAATTGAGCGAACGGAGGAGCTTAATCGGTGGAGACAAAAAGCACTTACGGTTTAACCAGTTAGAGAAGCTAGGATCAGTCCGCTGCAGAGATCAGGAGCCGAGTGCTTATTAGCCCGAAATTTAATTGACCTACCTTCTGTGATGGAAGGGGGCATTTGTCCCACCTAAACGTGTCCATAGGCGACCTTTAGCACCTCATGACAAAATAAATAAATAAATTTAATTAATTAAAAAAGAAAAACCCCAAGATTCCACAAATAACAGATGACTTATGTATTGTTACAAACAATAGGTTCGGGAAATTTCACGCCCCACTCAACACCACAAACGCCCTTCTTGCCTTCAAGTCAAATTTCTGATTGTGATTGTGCATACTAATTCAAAGACGATTTTTTTTGTTTTGTTTTGTTTTGTTATAGAAAGGGTAAAAATCATAAATACATGAGAAAGTGTACACATAAGAATTCAATTTATTTTTTCTTTCTCGATGTGCCTAATATATTTTCTAAACAGACACTTCTGATAAATAGACAAAATCTTATTCCTGAGTGGCGTCCACTTATGGCAAGTACAATTTTGTATAAATATAAAAATAAACTGTTATTAATTTGATTATAAGAACTAAACATTTGTTAAAAAATCCTCCTTTATGATGTGCAAGAAACAGACTCATCCCAAGGGAATAACGTCAAAAGAATCAGTCTAATGACTCTGAATAAAAATACTACCACCAACCATTAGCACCAAACACGTTAATTGTTATGATTAATATTAAAACATAAATTCACTAGTTTCGTGGTAAAAAAAAGAGATAAAAAAGTCAATGGCACGAGTGGGATTCGAACCCACGATCTTCGGCTTGATACACCGTTGTTCTACCACTTGAGCTATTGTGACTTCGATCCATTCGGACACTAACTTCCCTCCTCAACCCACCTTTCGAATTTTCCCTCATTTTATTTTTATATATGTACAAACATGAACATTTATGAAAGATTTGGTATAGATTCAGTGCTTTAAATTCACTGTATAATTGTTTCGGATTATACCTATACAGTTTACGTAAAATGATTTTAAGAAGCGAGTTTATAGTTACACCCAGAGTATTAGTGTACCATTTATTAGTACCTCCCGATGAAACAATACCATAGGCTATTATGGATTGTGCAAGAGAAAAATATATTGCCCTTAAGACTTCAATTTTCAAAAAGTTGCGTAAAATTCTAGATTTATAAAAGTTGCGTAAAATTCTAGATTTATAAAAGAGATTTCTCAGACGGGAAACCAAACAATGAGTATTTAAATTAAATCTCAAATTCAAGTCCAATGTCACACCAAGATATCTGACACTGTAAGCAAGTCATTATCATCACAAGTATGAAAAGAAAATTTTAAATCATTACATGAAATGTAAGACTATCATCATCATTATCATTTCTAGAAATTGTTTATTGTATTGTAAGTATTATATATACAAGGGGTAGGTGATGTCAAACACTTATCATTACAATTTAAAACGAGGTCACGATAGCTCAAGTGGTAGAACAGCGGCGTATCAAGCCGAAGATCGTGGGTTCGAATCCCTCATGCCATTGACTTTTTTATCTCAACTGAAAACCTTAATTGTAAGATGTTAAAACATAAAATAAGTGATTAATCACCTTAGCTTCCATTTTAAGAACAAGAATGCAAAATCAAATATTCACTAAATCCTTCTTATTGAAAAGCGAACTTTGGCCTTACAATGAATAAATATTTACAAACATAGAATAACTAATATTTTGATCATAAGCCTATGTAAATACCTCGCAATATTTAGTCTGCTTATCAACATAGTCCATAATTTTTTGTTCTTCCTCTGGAGTACGCTTTGGAATTCTATATGTGTCCCTGGAAAAAATATGATTCGTTAACAAAACAAAATCATAATAATTAAAAAGTTCTAGATTTTTTTATTATTTTTATTATATAACTTTTGCTTACATAGGATGAATGAATTTATTATTCGAAGGTGCACTAAATCCTCGGCCCATAACTCCTTGTGGCTTGGTGGGATGATTGATAGTCATCGCGATAGCTTCATTGGCCAATGTGACCGAATCCGGCGCGTCGAACAGATTGAACTGGCCTTCATCGTAATTGTCGGGCTGGAGTTCTTGATTATAGTATTTCTCTATATTTGTCATGTTGCATTTAAACGACTTTGGACGCAGCCCAGTCATAGGCGGAAGGCGTCCCCGACCAGATTGTGTCTTAACACTTACAAACAAAAGATTCAATTTTTTTTAAAATTTACATTGTACAATATAAAACTTACAACACTTTATCTGGCTGTTTATCAAAAGAAGTATTCGTGGTGACCATAGAAGAATCTGCAGAATCTTTTTCAACCTTTTCTGAAGTTTCTTTTGAAAACTTCACTGACAGGAAGTGTGGAGGTTTGCGGTTTATGCCTGCAATAGCCCTTTGGGCTTCGCTAAGAAAATTAAAAAAATAAATAAATACTGAAAGTGCAATCCTTGTAAACTATTTGAAAATGACAGAGGAGGCTAAAACGTAGAATTAAAATATATTTAACGACATTCAAATTGGCATATAAATAAGAACTAAACTGTTCATAAAAAAAAGGAAGTACAACAAAAACGAAAAGAAGAATAAACATACTTACTCGATATGTTCATATTCTACAAATGCCCATTTGGAAGTTGGCGGTCGATTATGTACATAAACACTAATGACCTCGCCATAAACCTCAAATATACATCGCACTGCTTTCTGATAAAGAAAGGTTTTTTTGTTAATAAATGCAATTAACGCTAAAATCACATTAAGTACTTACTTCTGTCAGAGCATTAGGGATGTTGCTAACGTGAAGTTTCAAATATGGAGTTGGTTCCCTTTGCCTGCATGAAGAAGAAAATAAATGTTTATTTATGCACGTACACACTGATGGACAAAATTAACACACCACCCTTAAATTTAATAATGGGTTGGTTAGATTAAAAAAAAAATTGGGTAAAGACAAAAATAAATTTAAAAACTTTTAGTCCCGTTTAATTCTGAGTATTTCCACCTCTGGCATGAATCCTAAAGAATTCTTTCCTATTCATCAAGAAAAGCTGTTACCAACTCTTCTAGGGTGTTAGGACATGAGATTCGCTGTTGTACTTGTCGCTTAAGTTGGTCTCGAATGTGTTCAATTGGGTTCAAATCTGGACTTTGAGCTGGCCACAGCAAGCAGTCAATTCCAACATCATTCAGGTAGTCATCCACAATATGCTCTATGGGGCCTGGCATTATCCTGCATTAACAAGAATCTCTCAATCAATGCGAGTGGCAAATGGCACTACATGATCTTTGATTATGTCTATTAAGTAGCTCTATGAAGGTAGAGATCTTCCTTGCACAACTTATTCGATGCGAGTGGCCAAAGAAATGCTACCCCAGGAACCTTACATGTGGGAGTTTTAAGGCTGGCCAACTACAATAATCATCGCCAGCTCTATTCTTTGAAATTCTATTATTTTCCTTCTCGCATTGTATTCCTTTTGAATCACTTTTCTGATATTGCTGCCCAGTTATATTCAAATCTATGATCTTGCCAACTTCTAGGCCTTGTCAGTCAATGATAAAAATTTATATATGGTATACAGACAAACTTTACACATATAATGAAAGTATATTCATCTAAAAACAAATCAATCCAGTTAGCATTCATACTGTCATTACTAAGAGTAATTGGGGAAGAAGCCCCACCATTCATGCTAATAAATTACATCACTTAGTACAAGATACAAGTACGAATTATTTCTCATCTAGCCTTTTTATTTAAGCCAGTAAAAAGGAATAACAAATACAATTTAAAATATTTATGGCTGAGGTTATGGATCAGTGATAAATGCCCCAAGGTTCCCGATATGTCATGTGGAATATCTAAGTTCTTACTTCAACTCAACTCTATACTATTTGTCATTATGCGCTTTTCAGTGACAAATTCCTGTCATAAAGGGCTTAAATATCTAACTGTCCATTGGGTGTTCCGGATGAGTTGTCAAACCACTATACAATACTTTCTCTCCATATTATTCACAATTAAAATTCTATAGGCTATGCTGAGATTTGAACCCAGGACCACTAGGCAGGGTACATAAGTCTTACAGTTTGGAGGAAATAGAAACAATTCGGAGGACTACATGTTGTTATGACTCTGTCCCTGTCATATTCACTCAAATGCCTGTCTGGAGCCATTCAAAAAGGTTTAAGAATAAGAATATCAAATGAAATCAATGAAGGAAAAATATTAACTAAAAGTGATCTTTAAGCATTGCAGAAAGCAAGGGCGTAATGCTATTTTTTTGTGCAAATGGGGTTAATCAGTACAATGCATTATTTACAGTTTATTTTTACTACGATAGCTGTTAATTACATGCAACTAATGTAGAAAGAAAATGGATTTAATTTTAAACAAAATAAATTGAGTATGTGTTAAATTTGTCCATCAGTGTACATTAAATACAGTGGGTTACTGGAATTTCTGTCTTGTGACACATTTCTCCAGCTGGGTGTTATAACTAAATTATTATTTATTATATTAAAAAACCTAGTTATCATGGCCAATTATAGGAGCGTTCTTTATCCTCCTGTGAATTACTTCATCCAAACAATAATTGCATATTTGGCAGTAGATTGACTAGCTTCACATTGTTTAACACATTTTTTTTCAGCTTTCTTTCTCTTCTGAAAGTGTACTACTGAAAATGTACAGCAGATTCGCGTGAATTACCTTCATACAAAATCTTGCATCTAGCCCTTGTCCAATGACTCAGTATTCGTCCGAACATCTTAAAGTGTAGATCAAAATGGCATTCAATTTGTCAGACTCAGAATTTTTGGCTTTGGATTCACCGTTATTTTTATGAGAGCAAAGACGTTGAAAAATGTGGGTGAACAGTATTTTTTTTAAAGAAAAATTTGAAATCTACTCCCACAATTTCTTCTGTACATTCCTTATGTTTCTCTCTGGTCCCACAGATGTCTTCTTGCAAAAAAGTAAAATGATTAATTTCTTGCAAACCATCATACGGAGTCCGAGAGTGTGATTGATTTGTCCGAACTCGCATCAAAATCCAAAATGAACTGGATCGATTCGCTTTCTCAACATTACGCAAGAAAACCAACAAAAATGAACCTAGTGAACGAGGTTTAACTCATTTCTGTGAGTTGGATCGTTCACGCGTTTTCTGACAAACGCTAATTCGCAACTTTTCGCACTTTTCTGGTCCCAGTGGACACAAAACCTTATGCACACACATGTAAAAATTGTACAGTTTACCAGATTTTTTTTCTTTGATTAGGCTTGAAGGACAGCAAACTTTGTCATAAAATCTGATAAGTTTCCACATTGTTATAGACTTCTTGCCATCCTAACATCTTGAAAATTCTTACTGATCTTATTGATTATATATTTTTTATACGGGTTAGCAACTAGTGTCTTTAAACTAAAATAGCACAAGAAGAATACTGGGTTCAAATTCAGGGATTTCGAAACTGTTGGTTCAGAAATAAAAAATATTGTTTATACAGCATTGAAAGTGATAATAACATAATTAATATTAATGATAATAGCATAATTTATATAGCATTGATAATGGTGATAGTATAGTCAAAAGCTCAGCAATCAAACTTTTTTTTGACAAGTGACTAAAACCATCCTAGTTTTATTCGTTGTAGGTCTGATAAATGATCAACTGAAGAATATCAAAATCATCTACCACTAAATCTCATATTTGTTATGCACAAACAAACAACCCTCTCGAATGTCTTTGGTGCTTCCCATTAAACTCTCAATTCAAACTTCCCAAAGTCAGTTCCCCGATTGTGATGTGACTGTGAAAAACCGAATCGGAGATGAACGCGAAGGAAAAAAAAAATTTTGTCAGAGAAAAAGTCAACTGACTAAACTGGTGATGGTGTCCAATAAAGTCAGGCCTAAGCTGCAACGTACACTTTTATAATTAAAATATATATCACATATCACAATGGTTCCGATTGTTTAAAATTATTATAAATTCAGCAACCGTCGTGCTAGACAGGTAATCCAAGGCAATATAGAAAGACAATACAAATATGAAATCTAGCATTCAACAGTGGACACTTCTAATAAGTTGATAAAATCCTTTTCTTAAGTAGTGTCCACTAATGGGAAATATTTGCATATAAAAATAAATTTGCCCTCTGACTGTTCTTCATTCTTAATATTAGCAATTTTATAAAGAGCTTTTACATTTTATTATATTTTTTATAGGGCTTTATGTTCAACTGGGCATGAAATTCACATGCCATAATATCCTGCCCTCCCATAACTATTTCCACATTCTTTACTTTGTTGTATTTTTTTTTTTTTTTTTTTTTTACTTTATGTCAAACAAAATTTCCAAAAAAATTATATTGGAATTTTTACATATAGATCTGACCAGTATGTTTTTGGCAGTTATCCAGATTTCGTGCATTTAAACACTCATCATCAGAATGAAAAGAGTCTTATGCAGATCTCTTTTATGTCAAATGCTTAAAATCAAGATAACTGCTAAAAAACAGTTTGTGAGTAGAACTATCCTATTTGACTATTGAATGGTTTTACCTTCGTCGTTCAACTTGGCAGGTTTGCTTGACAGCAGCCCCAGGTCCTTGTGAATACGAGTTGAAAGACTCGTCATTGTAGTCCTCTGCCATTGGGTCGAAGTTCTCCTCCATCAGCCTTCCTCTTCCCAATCCGTTCATTATGAAAAGAATTCTTTAAATCTAAAAACAAATACAAAAATATGTTAAAACAATTTTGGGCATTTTAACCAAATTTCTGCAAAGCAAGAATGTTAGAACATTAAATATTTATTCTTTTCATTTAACGGTTCAGATCAAATAGTAACAATAAAACTTGTAATGAAAAATATGTTCCAAATTTAATTTTATATTTTAATGATTTTTATTATAGTACAAAAACCATGTATAGACAAAGTACTCTATACAGTATTAACAAGGAAAAACTGGAAGTAATGAAATGAAAACAAACTCCCTAAAAAAGATCCTATATTCGCAATTTTTCCTTTACCAATTAAACGTATCCAACCTATAAGAAGATGATGAGCACTTTTAACAAAAAGCTCCTCCACAGCAGTATTGTTAAGCCCATGCTTGAAGAATCCGGACAAACCTCAACATGTTACAAGTGATCCCAAATAAGTTTTTGAGGTGTGTCACCTCCTGCCCAAGATGGACAAGGATAGAGTGCCTCTACGAGATGGCCAAAATGAAGACCATTGCCATGGAGGTGAAGTCAAGAACGCTACCCTTCTTCAGCAGAAGTACTGCCAGCAGGAATGCCCTATGCAGAGTAATTGGCGCTGGAAGCATTAGTGTGTAAAGAATATTCTGCTTTGAGTCTGAGCTGTGATTTTTAAGATATCTGTGATAGTCCATTAAGTGCTGTGATTTTCCTATGATTTCTGGTCCATAAATGTGTATAATCTTTGTATTAACTTATTTGGGCCATCAAAATCTATTTTGTCATTATCCTGTCTAAATGAGTGGTTTTTAAAAACTTTTTTCCGCTTCTCATTTCACTGAAACTTTTACAACAATTTAAACAATCTAAAGACTTTCTGGTTGGTCACTCAAATTTGTAATTATGTACTAAATTTAAAAAAAATGAATAAATAAGAAAAGACACGCATTGGTAATAACCAAACCTTGGTAGTGCTAAAATTCTCGTCAAATTGAATATGTTAAATGCTTTAATGAGATTAACCTTATTCTTATAACTTGTTCAGTTGTATAATCATAAATATAATTTCAAATTAAAATAAAGTTATCTGTTCTTAAACAGATATGAATTTAACAATAGTATTTTTGTCAACTGGAGCGAAGCTTTGGTTCAAGTCTCAATGTCAGCATGCATCATGCTACCCCACTTTACCTAATGTCCTGCACTTCTCAAGAGGGATTGTGGTGACTGAGATGACTGGATTCAAAATTTTAGCATTGCCTTTACAATTTTATATAAAAACAATTGGGAAAAAGAAATATTTACGTGGTCTGACCCCATGATCATGTCAATGCAAAGTGGGTAGTTGGACATTAATCTGAACAGGACTGGTGACAAGTTATCTCGTAAAATATAAACATTGTCAGACCTTATTTTTTTATTTTATTTTTGCAAGTCTTAGCAGGACCCTCACAGGTCAAGGTCATACCCAATGTACAGCAGGCACCTCGATAGTGAATGGAGACCTCCCACACCATTCCCATACCAGCTTTGGGTCGAAAGTGGAGCAATCCAAAACCTGCTGCTCGGCTGTCTGAGGCGACTTACATATGGTGTATCTTCAGTAACTTTCCTAGACTAGATTTAAGTTGAAAGTAGAGGTGTCTAAAGCCTCAAGTTCTGCTTAGCTGTCTGAGAATATGTATATATGTGCAGTCCCTTTTTGAACCTGCCTTGTTCACAGAATTCTGTTGTACGAAGATATGTATGTCTGTCATTCCCATAATGCTGTAAGTTAAAGGCGAAGTCTAAGGCCTTCTTTGTTCTGTTGACAATAGAATACTTACATATAAATACCTTTCAGTACCAAACCTAGACCAGTTTTGAGTTGAAATAGTCTAAATCCTTTGGTGCAGTAGGGATGAGATGTTTGCACTCTGCACCCTTTTTTCGATGATTTTCTTTGGGTAGGTTTCTATTGTACGGATCTCCTCTTGGGAAATTGATGTGTGAGACCTAGAGGTTTGGCTGGATACATAATTTGGACCTTTAACACTGCCACCGTTCCATGTCCATTTTAGGTCTTGTACTAATAAGGATTGTAATGACAATAATTAATGAGTTGGATGTGCAAGTTCTTTTTTCAAGCTTTTGCATGAGATTTATGACATGAAAGATCTCTTTCTCTCTTTTTTTTTATAGGAAAACAGCGGATGTGGGACTCGTGAACGACCCAGATTTTCCGCGGGCCGGAAGAAAACCGTTGGGGCTTTTCCTGCAATTCACTCCCAGTGTTATTTTTAGTTTTTTTTTCAACTTATCTTCATGATCATCTTCCTCAACAAATCATTCTTTTCTCCCCTTCTGTTCAAAATCTGGCCTCTATCAAACTTCTATGGCATATTCCTTTTTCAGGTAAACCATCTGGCTACATCCATGTCCCTTCGGTTGCTCTATTTTTTTAAAACTTCCCATACCTTTCCCAACCCTCCACCTATCCTATCGTATTTCTAATTTTTCACCTCGGTAAAATTGCATTGTTCACGTTCAAACTACTTCATATTTAAGATATTTTTGTTTTTGTTGCCTTTATTTATATATCTATTAGATAGATTCAGTCGCTGTCATGTATGGTCGAATAATAAAACTTTTATGAGTATAGTGAATGTGATGTGAATAAGAACTATTCGAAGCAAACGCTTTGACATTCGATAATCCAGAATTAAACATGTAGGGGGTCACACAGCAGCCAAATCGTATTTTAGAATCTGAAAATGAAACTTAAATACTTTAATCAGAAGAAGAAAATGAAAGTTCAAACAAAAACTTTTTTTAGAGTGCCTTTACCAAGTGTTCTGGCTCACATTAACTATAAATGACAATGGCAGTGATCATTCACCTATCATTATGTAAAATAAAATTGAATTTGCCTAACTTGAAAGTGTCAATCAAGTTCTTTGGTACACTATTTTCAGTTCTCCAACCTGCATTGTCCAAACACTGGTTTTTGGCAGGGTATGTTTTCACTGCATTGGTGGTCGCAATGTTTTAAGCGTTGGCACGGTGCTTATCGCTGTAAGGGATCCTGGGTCTGACATGCTTATAGATGGGCTTTTTTTCAAAAACAAACTTTTTCAACACCCTGAGGGTTCATATAAACCTCATAGTTGAAATACTCTCATTAAATACGACAATTATCCAATCCTACGAATTTTACAGTTGTACTTTTCGCTATTGAACATAACAATGGTTAAAATTCTTTGGAACATTATGACAACAATTGTAAACAAAGACTTTCTTTTTGAGTGCCTTTTATGAGTGTATTCTCACATTGACCATAATTTAAAATAAAATAAGAAAAAACTGAACTTGTCTAATTTCAATGAACTGAAATTGTTAATCAAGTCTTTTGGTAGAGTTCTTAGTTTATTTTTCTATTTTTTGTGTATGTGATACCCTACATCACTCCATATTGACCACAAATGACAATTAAATAATAAATTAAATTAAACCGTCAATCAATTCCTTTGGTACAGGCTTTGGTTCTCAAAATGACTGATTCAAAAACTCATTTCAGTCACAATCTTGTTGGCGAACAAGATCACAACTTACAATCAAAGAAATATTAGTTAACATAAAACATTGTGGCAGAGTTGAGATTTGACTCACATTGTACAACTAAATTATTGAAGTGCTTTGGCGCAATTTTTGGTGTGTCTCCACCCAATGAGTATAACCCATGAATGTGTCCAAAGTGAAAACATATATCATCGACAATCATTGAAAACTTACAGTTGCGCTTTATGCAAATGGACACAATGATCATTTCAAGACTTCGGTCCCAATGACAGCAGTTGCAAACAAAAGAATATCTTTTTGAGTGACTTTTCCGAGTGTTTCGCCTCACATTGATCATAAATGACAATCAAATTAATAAAGTGAATGAATTGAAACGGTGAATCAATGCATTAGGTACAGGTATTCAGATCTTCAAAATGACTGATTCAAAAGCTTTTGTTTCCGTTACAATCTTGTTAGTGAACATCTTCCAATAAAAGAAATATTAATTAACATAAATGACACATTCTGTAGGATTTGAGAAGTTATTTTGTGTAATTTTAGAACATACAGTATTGACATACATCATACTAAACTACAATTCAAATGCTTTTGGTGCAACTTTTGCATAACCCAGTGTGCATAACCAACAATTGTGTCCAAAGTGAAGACGTACCATCGACAATAATTCACGAGAACCTACAATTGCGCTTTATACTAACAAGCACAATGATCGTATCAATGCTTCGGTACCAGTTGACAGCAATTGTAAACCAAAGAATTTCTTTTTGAGTGACTTTTCCGAGTGTTTCGCCTCACATTGATCATAAATGACAATCAAATTAATAAAGTGAATGAATTGAAACCGTGGGTTAAAACATTAGGTACAGGCATTCAGATCTTCAAAATGACTATTCAAAAGTTATTGGTTCAGTTACAATCTTGTTGGAGAACACTAACACATCTTCCAATAAAAGAGATTAATAACCATTTTGGCAGTTTTGAGATGATTTTGTGTAATTTCGGGCAGAAAACAAATACGAACAATTCGAATGCTTTGGCGCACCTTGTCTCACTCTGTACGCATAACCCATAATTGGCGATCGCGTCCAAAATGAAAACATGCACGTATAAGCTAATCCAACAAAAACAGGACCAACTCCATACTTTTTTCCCATAATTTTGACAGGGAATGACATGCAAATGATGTACAGGTGTACTTTATGTTAAAAGGGATCCTAGAGAAAGGAATAAACCATGGGTTCAAGTGATTTGTTATTTTTGTTGGTCCGTACACCAAAAACCATCTTTCTCGACTTCACCAAGTGAGCTTAGAACCACGTGCTTTTTTCTCGATCTTTGTCATTGGAAGAAACCGACTGAAATTCGACTCGTTTTACGTAAAGAACACCATATTACAAACTTCAAATTCTTACCTCCCACAGACGTCAAAGCAAACAGCGTCAGAGTACAACAACCAGGCCTTTTCATAAACAAAAACCAAATTGGCAGCGGTACGTAAAAATCGGAAGGGAGAATCTGCCTATCCAAAAATTACCGGTCCGAAGACTTCAGGCCTACCATGTACAAACTGAAAGAGTTAAGACGAAATAAGGAATCGATTGGCGCGAGAAAACATCAATTATATAATTTAACAAACATATTAGAGTAAACTATCTTAAGTTAGGTATTTTTCTGTCTTTTTATTTACCTTCAAGTAATTTTTTTAATATTAAAAATTAAAAAGCGAAATTAAATTCAACAAGTCTACTATACCGCTATTGACGGTACAAAACTCTACTATTAACCCAAGGAACATTTTTCCTTAAAGATATTTTAATGTATGTATAAGCATAAACTGTTTAATTCGAGATAAAAATGTACTGTTTAATTCGAGATAAAAATTAGTTGAAAAGGTATACATTTTAATTAAAAATATATCTGTCAGATTAGCATTAAAATAAATAAATCTGCCTCGTTGGCTTGTTATGTTTATTTTTTTTTTAAAGGTGCCTTGAAGAATGGAACCGAATTGTCTCCAAAATCAATCATTCAATCAATCAAAAAGTACTGTATTTTTTATAAAAAGAACAATATATAGAGGTCTGGTTCATGTAACATTTATATTTTTTCTCTACTTCTGGACACGCATTTTTTTCCTTTATACATAACATATCATATACATACTACTAGTTGGATTTATATAAGCCCACATCTACACATATAACACATGAATGCGCTTGTACAGAGTTGTAAATTCAATTTCTATATTAAAAGTGTTTTTTCCTTGGATGTATTTTATTTATAAATAACTTTAAAAAAACATAAGTGCAAATTCTGTTGCGAATTTCAGTTACAATAAGTAAGGAAAATGAAAGAATAAATAAATACACTGAAGAAAGATTTAATTATTACTTTCCTTGTTTTTCAATCACCTTTAGTATCTGTTAACAGACAGAACTCTGAAATTGAAAAAAAAATTAAATCGTTATTTATCGTAACTGTTATTTTATATTTTATTTTTGAAATTGTTTAAATTAAATGATTATTATGACAACAACAAAAAATAAATAAATAAATGATAATGATGATAAAATAATAAATAAATACAATTATAAATGACATAAGAAAGTAGAAGGGTGAATTTTATTGCAATCTTGCTTACAATAAAAAATTGAAACATATAAACATAAATGTACTGATATAAATAGGTCCAATAAAGATTTAATTATTGCTTTCCTTGTTTTTGAATCACCTTTAGAATATGTTACCAGTCAGAACTCTGAATTTTTTTTTTAAATTTCAAATCATACTGTTAATTTAACATATTTTATATTGTACTTTGTTTAAATATAATTATTATTATGACAACAATAACAAAAACATAAATAAATGCAATTTCTACAACAAACAATATATTTTTTTCTAATTTTAAACTTATGTTGAGGTGAGTGGCCCCAGCAAAAAAGTCCCAATGCTTCGATCAAAAATTTATTGACGTTTCGGACAGCTCAAGTCTTTCATCAGGTACATAATCATTGTTTTTTGTGTCAGTAACACCTTTTCCGGCGTCCCAGACCGACAGAAAAATGGCCTTCCGAAACGTCAATAAATGTTTTGATCGAAGCATTGGGACTTTTTTTCTGGGGCCGCTCACCTCAACATAAGTTTAAAATTAGCAATTGGGGACCGCGGTAGCCGAGTGGTTAGCATGAGAGACTCTCTCGCCGCGGTCGTGGGTTCGATTCCCACCGTCGCCTCTAACCCCCCCCCCCCCAATTTGAACACACAAATAAGAATTGTCACCATGGCTAATACGCTAGATCATAACGCAAAAAAAAAAAAGAAAATTAGCAATTGATTTATATTTTTTCCTTGATGTTTTCCTTGAATGCATTTCATTTGTAAATAAGTAACAAAATGTGCAAATTTTATTGGGAGTCTCGGTTATAATAAATAAGAAAAATGAAATAATTAATAAATAAATACACGGAAATACAAGAAAGATTTAATTATTGCTGTCCTTGTTTTTCAATTGCCATTAGAATCTGTTACCAGAAAGGACATTGATTTTTTTTTTTAACATTTCAAGTCGTACTGAAACTTTATCATATTTTATTTTTAAATTGTATAAATTAAATGACTATTGTGACAACAATAATGGAGGAAATAAACAAATGCTATTTCTATAATAAACAACTTTTTTTTTTAATATTCCCTCTAAATGTGTTTCATTTATAAATAACATAATAAACTAGAAGTGCAAATTTTATTGCGATCTCAGTTACACTAAATAAAAATAAACAAAACACAAAAATAAATACGCAGATATATGTACATATGTACAATAAAGATTTAATTAAACCTGTCATTGTTTTGAATCACCTTTAGAACCTGTCATCAGACTACTGGTAGACATTTTGAAAATTTCAAGTCCTTGATAATTTATAACATTTTATTTTGTAAATTGTTTAAATTAAATGATTATTATGATAGCAATAACGAAGGAAATAAATGAATGCAATTTCTATAATAAACATGTTTTTTCTTGTTTTTCTCCCTGAATGCGTTTCATTTATAAATAACATAATAAACTAGAAGTGCGAATTTTATTGCGATCTCGGTTACATTAAATAAAAATAAACTAAACAAACAAAAATTAATACGCAGATATATGTGAAAAGGTACAATAAATATTTAATTATTGCCGTCCTTGTTTTGAATCACCTTTAGAAACTGTCACCAGACTACTGCTAGAGGTTTTAAAAATTTCAAGTCGTGATAATTTATAATATTTTCTTTTTTAAATTGTTTAAATTAAGTGATGGATGATGATACAATAAAGGAGGTAAATCTGTAGTAAATAGGCCAATATTTTTGTTTAATTTATGTAAAAATGTGAAAATGTGATTCTAAACCGAGGCCTTTCCGTTTTGAACGGTGTCGTTTTACCGCCTCTTCGATCCAGAGAAAACGTGTACCCCATTGAAAATTCTCTACCCAGAGCGATTTCCCGTAAAAGAGATTTTCCGTTTAAAAAGTCGAAATTTATTTCCCTTCAAATTACAAAATACCTGGATGGAGAGACATCCTCGGCTTGAAATTCCAAGCGGGTTCTCTTTTAAAAATAAACTCGGTTTGTAATGCCCTGTGCGTAAGTGGGACCATATGATCCGATTGTAGCAGACAAGAGGTTCGCTTCTATGTTGTAACTTCTACAATCGTTTGGCTCTCAAATATTAAGTTCGTCCGATTAGTTAGTTTTTTTTTTTTTAATTTCCCACACAGGCCTTCTCTCCGGAGAGAGATAAAACGCGTTAGGGACCCCAGGAGTGAAGCCCCGAGGCGCACGAAATTCCAGACTGTGATCATTTTTAAAAAAAAAAAGACAATAGCTTTTCCCGTTCGCCCCTTAGAACGGTCGGATTTTTAGACTAGACCCAAACAAACCACATACAAGCTAAATGAATATTTCCGTTTCGTATCACTCCTGAAAATTTCTCTCCGTTTTTCAAACCCGCAGACCGAAATCGGCCAAAACGCAATTTTTGACGCGCCCCATCAACCTCGCGGACTGTCCAAAAACGCGCCTCAATTTTCACCGATATGATAAAACTCTTTTCGTTGAAACAACAGAAGAAAGATGGTGAGGCTACGCCGAAAGTCGGCAACCAAAAGAAGGCATCCGCAGCACAACTCAGAATCACGAAAGGTATACAACTTCATCATTTCCGCATTCATTTGCATAATTTTGAAACATGTAAATAGATTGTTTGGTTCAGAAATAAACTATTTTTATAACTAAGCATAGGTTTACGCCATATCCCATCATGGGTGATTTTCCTGTTTGTTTTAAACCTCTAATGAGCCTGAGAATGACTTTCCCATAAAATACAAGCTCGTATGTCCCCGACTCATTATTTTTTATCCCTAACTCTTTTAGAATCTCCATTTTTATGTGATTTTGGTGATATTAGTGTGATTTTCATTATTCACATATTTCAAGGCATTCTGCTTCCTCATCAGCAACATATATTTTAGCCTCATCAACTACTACCTGTCTTCTGTCGTGGCTCAAAAATATGTTAATCATTTCCACATTTATTGTCATATCTTTTAAATTATAAATGTATCTGTTTGGTTCACACGTAAAATTTTTCTCATTCTTAGTATAGATTTACTCCAGTCGCACCATATCCCATCATCAGTGATTTGTTGTGTTTTAAACCTCCTGTGAGCATGGGAATGACTTTCCCATAAGGATTACACTCGTATGTCAGTGACTCATTATTTTGCGTCTCCATTTTTATGTGATTTTGGTGATATTAGTATGCTTTTCATTTTACACGCATTTCAAGCCATTCTGCTTCCTCATCAGAAACATATATTTCAGCTTGATTATTATTTGGTGGTCGCGAGATGCGGTCTGGTGTGATATAGGTTTTAGAAAAACACTTCCTTTATCGTTCCAAACTTTTGATCTTTATTGAGATCATCTTCAGGGCCTGGGATTTATAAACATTATTTTTTCACATCCTACATGTATTTGTAAAATTTAAATAATGTTTATAAATCCTAGGCCCTGAAGATGATCTCAGTAAAGATCGAAACATTGGAATGATAAAGAAAATGTCACACCAAACCACATCTCACGATCTCCAAATAATCATCAAGGAACGGCCACTAAACACCACACATATATTTCAGCCTTACTTATCTCTTAGAATCTTCTGTTGAGGCTCAAAAATGTGTTAATGAACAAAAGGCTCAGTGACAACTCATAATCGTGAAAGAACTTAATCATCTCCACACTCATGTTTTTTAACTTAATGCAATGCATAAATGCTGCATTCTTAGTATAGATTTACTCCAATTCCAGCATATCCCACTATCTGTGATTTTTTGTTGTTGTGTTTCAAACCTCTAATGAGCCTCAGGCTGCATGTAAAAATTATATTTTTGGTTCAGAAATAAACTAGTTCGTATTCCCAAGCTTAGACTATCCATTCCCATATAAATCAAACTCATATGATAGTGATTAATTATTTTTCATCCCTAACGTTTTTAGCATCTCCATTTTTATGTGATGTTGGTGGTATTAGTGTGCTTTTCATTTTACACACATTTTGAGCCATTCTGCATCATCTGCATCATATATTTTAGCCTCATCAACTGTCTATCTGTCTTATAAGAGTGTTTTGTTGAAGCTCAAAAATATTTTACTTGGACAGGAGGCACAATCACAACTCAGATTGTGGAAGAACCTTCACTCGTTTTCATATTTTGCAACATGTAAAAAGATCTGTTTGTTTACAAAATAAACTATTTCTCGTAACTAGTATAGATTTACTCCAATCCCACCATATCCCATCATTGATATTTTTTGTTTTGTTTTAAACCTCTAATGAGAGTCAGACTGTATGTAAAAAATTATCTATTTGGTTCAGAAATAAAACATTTCTCTTTTCTAACATAGATTTGCACCATATCCCACCATGGGTGACTCTTTTGTTTTGCTTTAAACCTCTAATGAGTCACAAGATGACTTTCCCATAAAATTGAAACTTGTATGACCCGGACTCATTATTTTACATCTCTAACGTATTTAGCATCTCCAATTTATGTGGTTTTGTTGATATTAGTGTGCTTTTCCTTTTACATGCACTTTGAGCCATTTTGCATCCTCATGAGCAACATATATTCAGCCTCATCAACTGCTGTTGCTTGTCTTCTGTTGAGGCTCAAAAATTCGTTAATGAACAAAAGGCTCAGTGAGAACTGATAATCGTGCAAGAACTTAATCATTTTCACACTCATTATCATATTTTTTAACTTAAACATGTATCTGTTTGGTTTACAAATAAAATTCATTGTTAATGTAGATTTACTCCATTCCCACCATATTCCATCATAGGTGATTTTTTGTTGTTTCATTTTAAACCTCCTAAGAGCATGGGAATGATATTCCCATAAAAATTACATGTATATGTCAGTGACTCATTATTTTGTAACACTAACACATTTAGGTTCTCCATTTTTATGTAGTTTTGGTGATATTTTTTGCTTTTCTTTTTACATGTATTTAGAGGCAATCCTCAGTAACATATATTTCAGCCCCTTCTTCTGTGAGGCTCAAAAATATATTGTTAAAAAAGAGGCTCAGTCACAACTCAGATTTGAGGAAGTTCTTAATCATCTCCACACTCATTTTCATATTTTTCAACTTATAAAAGGATCTGTTTGGTTCAGAAATAAACTATGTCTCATTCCTAGTATAGATTTACTCCAATACCACCATATCCCATCATAATATGTTTTTGTTTTAAACCACTAATGAGCCTCAGACTGTTTGTAAAAAATTATCTATTGGGTTCAGAAATAAACTAGTTTTCATTTCTAACATAGATTTACATCATATCCTATGGGTGACTTTTTTGTTTTGCTTTAAACCTCTAATGAACCGTGAAATGACTTTCCCATAAAAACTACATTCATATTTTAGTGAATCATTATTTTGCATCCATAACGCATTTGGCATCTCCATTTTATGTAGTTTTGGTGATATTAGTGTGCTTTTCTTTTTCATGCATTTCGTGTATTCAGTTTCATACTCAGTGACATATATAACAGCGTCATCACTGTCTCTCTGTCGGTTAAAAGTATTTTGTTAAGGCTCAAAAATATTTTGCTTGAACAGGAGGCACAATCACAAGTCAGATCGTGAAAGAACTTAATCATCTTCACTTATTTTAATATTTTTCAACTTATAATCGGATCTGTTTGTTTAAGAAATAAACTATTTCTCATTCCTGGCATAGATTTACACCATATCCCATCATAGTTGATTTTTTTTGTTTTAAGCTGCCCATGAGCCATGGGATGACTTTCCCATAAAGATTACACTTGTATGTCAGTGACGCGTTATTTTGCACCTCCATTTTTATGTAATTTTGGTGATATTCATGTACTTTTCATTTTACACGCATTTCGAGGCATTCTGTTTCCTCATCAGCAACATTTCTGCCCCATCGACTGCTGTCTTCTGTTGAGGCTCAAAAATTTGTTACTGAGCAAATGGCTCGGTGACAAGTCATAATCTTGAAAGAACTTAATCATTTCCACACGCATAATTTTTAACTGAATCTGTTTGGTTCACAAATAAAATATTTCTCAATTCTTATTATAGTTTTACTCCAATCCCACCACATCCCATCATCAATATTTTTTTGTTTTAAGTCTCTAATGAGCCTCAGGCTATTATTACTTATTTCTAACATAGATTTATACCATATCCCACCATGGGTGATTTTTTTTGTTTTGTTTTAAAAATGAGCATGGGAATGACTCCCATAAAAATTACATTTATGTGTCTCATTATTTTGCAACACTAACATATTTAATTTCTCCATTTTTATTTAGTTTTGATGATATTAGTTTGCTTTTCTTTTTACATGTATTTCGAGGCAATCCTCAGTAACATATATTTCAACCCCATCAACTGTCTACTTGTCTGTTAGAGTCTTTTGTTAAGGTCCAAAAATATGTTACTGAACAACCACTGTTCCATAATATCTATGATATATAAATATGTACTATGGTTTACCATTATATATTTTTTATTTTACAGCAATTTAAGTAACATTTTAAATTGTATTTGAATTGATTTAATGGAAATTTACATTTTTGTTGTTGTTGTTGACCATGTCATATCTTTTATCGCAGGAGAGTTGTAATTCTTAATCTCTCAAAATTTATTTCAGAGAAATGCCTGCAATATGTTGTTTAGAGACTTTTCAGGACTCAACTCATTCTTGTGTTATAAACATCATATTTACAATCAAATTTTATTACACATAGATGATTTTAGTTTAAAATCTGTCATTTTAAGATAAAATTGTATGTAATATAAGATTTGTATCGTGTTGTACATGACTTGTCTTCTTTACATGCTTTACCTATTCCATTTAACTAATTAATAATATTTTTTTGTTTGTTACAGACTTAAATGAATTAAACCTGCCGAAAACTTGCAGTACAGAATTTCCAGATCCAGATGACCTTCTTACTTTTAAATTAATAATATGCCCTGATGAGGTATGTAAAGTAAATTGTATTTAAGGCTACTTATGTGTAAATAATAATTATAAACAAGAAAACTTTAAAAGCAACCTAACCAAGCACCGTCATCTAAGAGGTTTGCCTGGTTCAGAAACAAAAATTTTTATTTGGAAATCGTATAATGCTCTGGCTTTCTTCATTGCCTCTTCCTCTTTATCACTAATACTTAACAGAAGAAAATGTAGAACAATGTCACTTACTTTATCCTACTCATTCATTCTCTCTCTCTCTCTCTCTCTCTCTCTCTCTCTCTCACGCTCTCTCTCACTCACTCACTCTCTCTCTCTCTCTCACTCACTCTCTCTCTCTCTCTCTCACTCACTCACTCACTCACTCACTCACTCACTCTCTCACTCTCTCACTCTCACTCACTCACTCACTCACTCACTCTTTCACTTTCACTCACTATCTCACTATTTGCTCACTCACTCTTTACCTCAATTAATCACTCACTTCTCTCTCTCCCTAACTCACACTCTCTTTCCTTCTCACTTACTCACTCCCCTTTAACTCACTCATCCTTTCCCTCCCTCTCACTCACTCTATTTCCCTCTAACTCTCTTTCCCTCCCTCTCACTCATTCACACACTCATTTATAATCTCTATTTTTCCCATTCACTTATTCAAACTTAATCTCTTTCTCTTCCTCACTCACTCAATGCCTCACACTCTTATCATTCAATCACTCCTTTTCATCCCACTCACTTATACTTTCTCACTCACTTACTCACTCGCTTGCTCAGTCACTCACTCAGTGTCTCACATCCTCTTACTAATCGCTCTCTCCTTTTATCTCACTCACTCACTCACTCTTTCCCTCCCACTTACATACTCATTTATAATATCTCTCTCCCACACATTCATTTATAATATTTCTCACTCACTCATTCACTCACTCACTCACTCACTCACTCACTCACTCACTCACTCACTCACTCACGCACGCACTCCCCCTCACATACTCATTTATAATATCTCTCTCACACACATTCATTTATAATATTTCTCACTCACTCACTCACTCAAAGTTAATTTCTTTCTCTTTTTCACTCACTTGTACTCTCATTCACTCACTCACTCACTTTCTCTCTCTCTCTCACACACACATTCACTCTCTCTCTCTCTCACTTATTCAAGAAATACATTTTTTTAAAAATTAAACTTTTCCACTTTTTTTAATACTTTTGGACCAACACTCAGCTCCTCCTTAGGCATCAGTCCTGTGAATTTAAAAGGAGTATTAAGTAAAATATCACCATACCTTCATGCAAAGCATATAAAATAGTAAAAAGAGTTAGACGACTTAATGAGAAAAAAGTAGACATATTTGCATAGGGAACTCTACAGTCAATGTATTAAAGAGTTTAATGAGAAATCATAGGTACTGAGTTATTTGTCAATTAATTTCAGACTGTAACACACTTAAAGATGATCATAATGTTCAATCAATTGTTTAAAACCACTATCTTATCTTTATGTTTTTCCAAATTCAGTTTATCAGCAATTTCTAATGGGAAATTTCCAGGGCTTCTACCGAGGGGGTAAATTCACATTTAGCTTTAAAGTGGGCCCGAATTACCCCCACGATCCACCTAAGGTGAAGTGCGAGACGCAGGTTTACCATCCGAACATTGACTTAGAAGGAAACGTATGCCTCAACATACTGAGGGAAGATTGGAAGCCTGTTCTAACCGTTAACTCCATTGTGTACGGATTACAGTATTTGTTTCTGGTAAGTGTTATCAAAGAAATATATTTTTTTAAAGGGGCCAAAATATATTGAAATAATTACAATTTAATAATTGTCTTTTACAGGAGCCAAATCCTGAAGACCCGCTAAACAAGGAAGCTGCTGAAGTACTGCAGAACAACAGAAGAATATTTGAACAGAATGTCCAGAAGGCTATGAAAGGTGGAAGTGTTGGTTCTGTCTTTTTTGAACGGTGTTTAAAATAAAGTGAAATCTGGGGCTGTCTAATCTGTGATCGAAACCTGTTGTGTACTTACACCAGCAAAACCAAACAAAAACAAAGAAAGCATAAAATTGAAAGAAAGATAATTTATTATTTTTGGTGTGTACACGTATAGTCCTAAAAAAACACGAAAAAAAAAACAAAAAAAAAAAAAACAGAGCACCACCAAAACAAAACCGCGCTTTCCTTTATTTGCCTTCCCTTCCTCCTTAAGTCTTTAATTTGGTTGAATGAAAGTATTTATTTTAATTCGGTGTTGTAGACATCTATAGTTAGTTCAGCTCTGTTGGTACTTTGTACATTTTAATATGTAGCCTTCACAATTTTAAGCCTTACAAATCATTCGTAAAAAAAATATATATATATTTAAGATTTATGGTGTAAATAAATACGAACATTTATATAAAAGGAAGTGCTGTAAATCTAAATATTTTATTTATTATTAATAACAAAGTAATAAAGGTAAAATAAAACAAGTTTCTTTGTAGGCACAACTTGCAAAGAAGTAATTGAATAAAAAAAAATTATAGATGTTTGTTCAACCTTTTTTCCAAAAAAATGTAAAAACAAATTTTCAAAATCCCTAATCAACTTTATTATTAATAATTAAAAGATCTAGTAGAAAATATTACGCCTTTTTTCTTTATTATTATTATTATATTTTTTTTGTTTTTAGTTCTGGTCTTACACAACAAAGATTTTAAAAGTAAAACGAAATGTTTATTCTATTTTGTTAGCCTTATTGAAATTGGGACGAATGACTACTTCTAAGATTTAATGTAGTTTAATGACAAAATTAAATAGCAAAGGCTCATTTGAATGGATTATTAATAAGATCTCTGAACTCGAGTCATAATTTAAAGTCAAGAATGCCGGCCTTTGTGTAATGAGGAATGACACTGTTCAAAAAAATTTTTGTTAACAATATTGTTTTATTTATTTTAGGTTTAATTAATTACCCCTTTCACCCAGTTTTCTTTTTGTTATTCTTCAGTGAAATTATATTTCTTTCTGTAAATCTAAATTTAAAATAAATACTTATAAATACTTTGACATGTTTGTTGAAAACTTGAAATACCCCACTTTTAAAATTAAGAAATTATTTTTTATTTTTCACATGTCGTGTTGAAACATTTATTTATTTTTTTTATTAGTGATTTCAAGAATTCATATATATTTCACAGTGGAACATAAAACTATATGCTATCTTTCAAGCCTTTTGGTGGGGGACTGCGGACCATGGAGCTGAGTGGTTAAGGTGTTAAACTTTCGGCTAGAGACCGTGGACTTTCTTTTTGATGCACAAGGGGTGGCTCCAATGAAGATTTGACATGGCACTCATTAATGGAAGGTCTGGTACTGGGTTGGATGACCCCATGTGAAAATGAGTTTCTTTGATGGAAGAATACCGGTATACAGGGGCTGAATGCATGTGTGTTGCAAGCTTCTAAAAATGGATCCAGGAAGGAGTACAGTAAGCAGTAAAGTGCTTAGGGGGAACTTCTTTAGTATACAATGAGAAAAAAAAGCTCATAAACTTAGAAGAGAGCAGCTTACCCTTGGCTATGTGGGGGGTAGGCTCTTGACTAAAAAGTAACATTGGCTTTCGGGTGCGATCCTCAGCCAAATATTATATGACTTCCTGGGAATATGTTTCTGCAATGTTAGAATGACACTGGGAAAGATACTTGTACTGGGCAACTGCATGGAGTCCTTTCAGCCATACTCGTCTGGGACAATCTTAGGTCTCTACTCCACTATACTTACTGAATTAAATTCTTGGAACTTGCAGGCCTTGTCTTCATATGTAAGACCATAGGAGTGATTTGCTGTGTATAGCTAAGGTGTTTCCACCGATTCCTGAGTATGGTTATGCAATACAACATTTATACCTACAGAACCCATCCCTGTTGCTGGTAAATACAGTTTCTCATGTTAACTAAATAGACTATTTATGGGGGTGTCAGTGGCCACAATGGTTTAGATGTCAACGTGCTCATAACTGTAAGGTTCCGGGTTTGAACCTGACACAAATGGTTTTTTCAAAAACACCAACACTCCAAGGGTTGATATGACCTCTGCTGTTATGAAGAAACAACCATTTTTCATTTATACGCACACAACTAAATGTTGGCCATCAACATTCAGAAATATTTGTTATACTCATTCTCGCCATAAAAATAAAATACATTTTACATAAACTCATACAAAAGTAGGAGAAAATAATCTGGGAATGGGCAGATTATATTCGTATAGATTCACTGTTTATAAACGTTGAATAATTTCTCCTGATCAATTACTGCTGCATTTTAAAGTTTTTCTTTGACCCGAGAGTATGTCACAGCATAACCCCTCACACTTTACTAGTAGTACTGTCATGGGCTAATCGCATTCCGGGCATTGTTGACTGATGACCAGAAGATAGTCATGTGTGTCGGGTGTGGCCCATCCTCAGTTTTGTTGATGTAATTTTTTTTTAATATATTTTCTTTAAGGGCCACTTGGGGTACGGGCATACCTAGGCTTTTAACCCCTCGGGTCTTGGTCGCCTGCATAATATTAAGGGCCACTTTAGTGACTGGGAATTTTCGTGTTGTTATGAAGTCTAAAGCCGGTAGATGAGGCCGGGACTGTGTGTGTACTGTTGGTAGAGGTCCATGACCAAGAGAGCCATTGGCTGAGGTCTGGGGCCATGATCAGTCCATTGTCGGTTGACCCAACAGCGGAAGTGAGAAGGCGAGGTCGAGGCTGTTGCTGCGAGTGTCCTTGCTCCATTAGTGAGTAAGTGTTGAGACCTTGTTGGGGGAGACGAGTCCCAAGGTGTACAGTGCGAGCTAGTTGAGTAGATGAGTCAGAAGTCAGAGCTGCAGAACCCCCTGCTTATGGACAGAACTGCTCCATTCTGGCTGCAAAGCGGAAACCAAGGCTATTCCAGAAATGCTGGTGACACCTAGTGGCTACCGTGGTAACTGTAGGTAATCACCACAGCCACAGTGTGGTGTGTTTTTTAAACTTGTTTTTGGTCATTTCAATCCAACAGCTTGGTAACTAATATTTTTAATTTTTCTTTTACTTCTTGTTCTGCATTTTCTTTCTCCAGTCGAATACAACCTCGCGACTCCGACCCAGTCTGGCTACCTTTTCGTAAATGGCTTGTGTCAGCGGGTCAGTGGAGAATTTATTTTTCAGTTCTGAGATCACACTGAGCCTGAGCTTATTACAAACTTTGTGTAATTATTTCTAGGATTGTATTATTATACTAAGTTTGCGAATATGGTTATAAAAAAGTAAACCATTTTAAATTGGTTAATAAACTTTTATTGGTCCTTATTGTGAGGAATGACGGTTGTATTTACTTTATAATTTCAAAAGGCTGAAAAATGAACATTTAGGAAAAATAATTCCAAAAGTCAGTATTTTGAAAATTTTAGCCAGTTATACAAATTTACACTGCGCCTGCTCATGCTCTTAATGCATTTAGGATTTATATTCTATTATAAAAATTATATTCTTATGAATTCAAATTTAAATTTCTTCTATGGTGTGGGATTTTTGCTAAAAATTTTATTAAGAAAAAATTACATATAATTAATTAAATAGTTCAATTGTTTCAAAATTGTTTGGCCATATGGTTTACAATCTCTTTTGTACATTTACAGACACAAGCAATGAATCAGTTGTTTTGACACTTGGTAGTTTATTTACATTTTTCATCAGACAAAGGATGTAGAAATTTATGTAAAAATTATTATATAAGTTTAAAAAAATCAGGTTTCTTTTAAGCGTACAACATGGCAAATAGTACGCGCGTGTCCATTGCTGTTCTCTTAATAGCATTCATTGGGTTCGGAAATTCAGCTCCGGTAGAAAACTTATGCGTCCTTTCATACACGAACACAAGCGAATGGTCTGCTTTCATCCACCAGATTTTAAAATGCGTAGAATCAGCGGTCGATCTGAAAAGTGAGCAGCGTGAAAATTTTACATTAGCACTGGCTCAGAATCTGGCCGATATTGCGTACAATTCAAGTCTTATGAGTAACCAAACAAATAATCTGTTTGATATTCCAATGGCCATCGAAGAAAATATAAACAGCATCCTTTTCAACGGGCAACGGGATGTTTTCGTGATACAGTCTTCGAGCAAGATAATAATCATCGACATCAACCGTGTGGGACGCTACTCTAAGAGCTTCTACATCGAAGACAATAGTATTATCTTGGGACTTCTTGCTGCCCTGGCTTTCACGCTACTCATCGCAATTGCGGAAATGTACATATCATGGAATAAGTTTCTTCGGTCAAGAAAGGTGAGGCGTATTGTGAGGCATTCATTCACTCCGTCCATGGGCACACCTATTTTTCCTATCAAAGAAAAATACGCAGAAACCAAGATTTCTCAAAACCAAAAGGATATACTATCTGTTTAAATGTATTGCTTATTGTATAATTTTTGACTAGATAAAATTAATGTAAACATGTATTTGTTGAGTTTTTATTTTATAACTTTTAGCCATATTTTTAAACAGGAAATATTTATTTTTGGTTACCATATTTTCTACAATGCCATAATCTGTTGTGTTAAAAGTAACTTAATTGCCTATACTTTAGATTAAATTAAACTGCAATTGCTATTTTTATTGTTTGTTGAATTGAAGGTATACATCTGATGTAAATACAATTTTTACGCCTGGAAAATTCTCCTTTTTTTCTTTTTCTTGCTGTTGTATGTGGAAATGCATAAAGAAATTTTTGTTTTTACGTGTACAGTTTTCATCAAACCTAAGGATTCTGTACTTCCTTATATTTGTAAAATATGGCATTTGTGAAATTAAGAAAACTAAAAGTTTGGAAAAACTTGCATCTACAAATAACCTAATGCTAAAGTTGGTCCCAGGTCCTGAGGGAATTTCAGGCAACAAGGCAGCAGACAGATAAAAAAAGGTAGTCGTAGGTACAAACCATAGGCCCAAATTCATTCTGTAGCATAAATTATAGCCACGTTAAAAAAAGAAAAATGAAATCTTGGGTTACCAAAGAACACAACAAATTCAGTGGACATATGCCAGGAATGAGCTAAGGGGTGTTACGAGTTGTGCGCATAAAAACCCCCTCAGGAGAATATACGTGCCCGGTTACACGTCTATCTCCTCTGCTCCC